GCTTAATGAGCATGTTTAAGTGGAATTATTTTTGCTCATAACTTTAAATGCCTACAACCTAATTATTGGTATAAGTATATAAGTAAAATTGGAGTTAAGACTCAATATACGAAAATAAATGAGATCGTTCAACTTGAAAGTGTAATAATCAAAGATCGAATTTATACGATTTTACTTCAAGTGAAATAAAATTCAATTTTTAAGTTGAATTTATATATTATTAGCAATGGAGCACAATTTTTAATTATGCATTATGCATAATATAAATTGCACGTGTGCAAATAAACATGTTCAATGCAATTAACATTTGTACTGAAAATAAAATCTGATATGATTACTTTAATCTTTATTTTATTAAATACAACTTTAGCAATTGAAATTTTATTTCAGAGCTTTATTTTTATCTTTTATTCATCAGCACTTAAGCTTATATTAAAATTGCAATTCTAAAAGCGTTAATTTGATGTCAAGTTTATTTGGAAGCACTTAAACCCTGCCACTAACTAATCTTTATCTAATTTTGTTGGCTTTCATTTTTTAAATTTGCACAAAACTCGTTGGCAATTTGCAGTGCGTTAGTGTTAAATGTGTTGGAAGTGGGCGTGCTGCTCAGTTCTTTAATGCAGTTGCCGGCACTTGGCCGTACAGCAAGTTCTCTAGAGCCTCAAGTCTGGTTCCGTGTGCCAAGCGTCTCGTGTAGGCGGTGTTGATGTTGTTGTTGTGTTGCCAGCAGGCATGTCGCTTATTTCAAGGTCTTTCGCGTCGTGCCCCTGGCCAATTGCTTGGAAAATGTCAAATGGACAGAAAAAATTGGCCTCTTCTGATATATCTGATTTCTGGTTTTGTCTTTTGCATTTATTTTTTATAATTTTCGAGTATTTTTCCAAAAACATTACATCCAAATTTAAGTGAGAAAACTATTGCGGACTAAGGTCAACTGCCGTTTGTTATCGCGGGTGTTGAGGTCACAATTATAAAAGCATAATAACGGTAATAATAACAGGCAATTTAGCTAACAGTGGCACAGAATGCACCATCAACAATGAAATGAATTATATACTTTTATTCGCGTGACCTTTTCGCGCAGTTACAAAAAATCATTCAAATAAAAAATACTTTAAGCTGTTGATGTTATTGTTGTAGAAGTTGTAGCTGTGTTGCTTTTGCTTTTGCTGTTGTTGATGCCAACAACTTCTTTCTGTTCGTTTTCTTTGCGGCTAAACGTGCACAGTACAAAATGTGGCCAAATTAAATGTCGAAGGTTTTGCACGACTGTCTCGAGACTTCGCCACGGCCTGCAGTCAATTGACAAATACTATCCGTACCTACCTCAACTAACCTCGACACAATCTAAGTCTGGCTCGGGCTCTCGTTTTGGCTCTGGGCACGAAATTCGGTTGCCAAAGAAATCTTGGCCAGTCCAGTACAAAATTTAGGTCAAATTGTGTCGCTTGACTTGCCGGCGTCTTGAATTTTGACAAATTTTACTGATCTCTTAACGCTGATTAGCGCAACGACCCTGATACATGTACACGTACCCAACTACTAACCACAACAATTATGTACTAACTCAACTTAATGAGCAACATTTCGGTTAGTTTTGTTTTGCTCCTTCATGTTAAAAAAATATTACCATTTATAATCTGAATTTATAATGTTCAATTTATATCGAGAAATAAATATGTATTTATCTTAATAAAGTTTGCCAGCAGTCAAGTTCTACCACAAAAATCTTTTTAATAATCCACTTATAAGCTGTTAAGTTGCGATTAATTGGCTTGCCAAAGAGTAAGCTGCTCAACACAACGAATCACTTTTTCAACATAGTTCCACGATTGTGCACTGAAACATGTTTGGTATTTGAGACGGAAAAATCGCAAATCGATTGCAAAGTTCAAAATATGCGGCAAAAAATACAATAAATTAAGCAAAAAAAAAAAATACTATAAAAAATCCTAAACGCTTGACAAATGCGAAGCTTCTCAAAAGTAGAGCACATGCAACAAGCGATTGCTCACAAATTATTGACTTGCCGTGTATACGATTATATTAAAAGCAAAATTGCCAGAGTCTTCGTTTAAATGGCAAATGACAAATGCTCAGCCGCAGCCAATAAATCGACACTGTCTAGATGAAACCCACATTTTTAACTTCTCTTATGTATGCAAACTTTGTCGAACTGCTGTCTTAGCTCTACTTAACACAATCAATAAATGTATTTTATTTATACACCACACATAAATAAAGTTATATGAGAATATCAAGAATGGAAGATCTGAATTTAATCTTAAGTAGTTACATTTGAAATTAAAGTATGTATGGATGCAATTTGCTTATGACTTTCATTTGCTTTTACAGAGTATATTTACGTGTAATCTGTTTAATAGCCAATGCCAAACAGTCATAACTTGGCAAACTTCCTTATTTGAAATACAAAAATAAAAAATTTAATTCGTTATTACTTAAAGCAAAAAAACATTTTTTGCTAAGTTTTGTTAAACATTTCATTTGCATTTTAAATTTAATGTCAAATAATTTAGCTAACAGAACTGCAGAATATTTGAATTTCTATGAGGCAAAGACTACAAATTTCATTCTAGAGAAATGCGATCTTTTATAAAAACAAAAATTAGTAATAAATTGTTAGAATACAATAAAAAAAAAAAAACAAAAAAGGCTTAATTTGATGTTTATAAATTTGTTTGTCTTTAGAACTGGTTCACCTTAACGCGAGGAATTAATTATAGATAATGAATGGAAGTTGGCAACTTTTAATATCTGAACAACACGCCTAATATTATTTGAGTCGGCTAATGGCCCGTTGATATTTTATGCAAATGTTGTGCTCTGCATTTAGACATACATTATTGGATGTTAGCATAATCGAACAATCGTCACTAAAATCTACATAAATATATATGAAGCATGAATAAAATCAGAAGATGGCGAAACGACTAAAGAAGATAAAATAAATCTGTGAAATCTCTACGAAGGAAAATTATTCACAACATTTAAAGTTATCTTAATTTAATTGCGAATAATCATTGCACTTGTTATTCCCAAAACCAAACACAATGACTTGATCACAAATGCTAAACAGAACAAACATTAGTTACCGATCATTAGATTATTAAAAATCCTAATGTTTTTTGGCACAACCAGATTTGCATAAGTTTTTGGGGGGTTTTAATTTTATTAAACTAGAATGCTCATTAGATTGAAGCTTTAGGGTATTTTTTTTATTATGTTTACCATTTGGGTGGCACGTGTACGAAAGTTAACTCACAAAATACAAACAACAACCAGAAGAAGAAACTGAAACTGAAGAAAACCTATATAAAATCACATAAACTTGAACTTGAAATTTAATGTTGGGCCTTAACCGCTATGTTTCCCTTCACTTTGCTTGTTCATTAGACAATCGACAGATTGCTCTTTTCCCCTTCATACCTTCTTTTTTAAATTTATGTTGATAGTTTCAATAGAGGTTTTTGGGGTCATCTACGCTATGCAGCGTTCTTTATGTGCGCTAAGTTTTAACCACAAAAGAGCCCCAACACACAGAAAAACAAAAACTAGAAACAGACAAAGACCGAATTTAAGATAATGTAGTTCAACTTTGTCTAATGATAATGATAATGCTGATGGCTGATAGTTAACCTTCGACTTCAACTGCACATTACAATGCACAGCTTTATAAAGATCCAAGACATCTCTGATTATTAAGCATATTAGTCTAATGGAAAACACCTTTTCCTGATGGCTACCCATTGTTCACACGTTCCATTTACTTAGCCATTGACCGATTAGACGCGTAGTAATACCCAGAATTCAGTCAATATATTTATTTATATAGTTGTGTATATTCTCTGCATCTTTCCATTGTACATTGAAATGTCAAATTACACATACAAGCCAAACATTCAATCAGTGCACCTATAGGTGTATACAATTTAAAATTGCTTCTCTCAGCCGAAAATCTAAGATCAAAAGTTCAGTCACGAATCCAAACGAACCTAGCAAACTTTGCATGTTTTTTCTTAAAATAGAAAAAACACTGAAAATTACCCAAACTAAACTTCAAAAAAATTTGCATTCTACAAAGTTAATATCTGAAATTAATTGAATTTAAAATTATTATTTTTGTTAAGCAAACACAACTTGAATAGTGTAATGGATTTTTGAAATGGGCTTTTTGCTCAAATTGAAAACATTATAATTTCATTTACACTTGGTTTATTATAAAATTGACATCGCTCTTGAATACAGAAAATATTGGATTTGTTTTAAATACAAATATTATTTAAAGAAACTTGATTAATATTTTAACGTTTTGTAAAATTTAAGAAATACCGGTATATCTTTTCACAACTAGAAAAATCTACACCTTTTTAAGGCCACGCACCGAATTTTATTCGAAAGTCAAGCAATAAAATTGAGTGGATTGAAAAAAATTAAAATCTATTTGAAATTATTTGAATATCTTTAAATTCAAATTTGATTTTTTAAAAGGAATCAAACGACATCTTATCACCTTTGCCAAACACTCAATACGCTGTTGAATTTAATTTACTATCTTGTGACTCCAGTTCTGTACTAAGCATTTGATACCATTAACAGCTAGCCGACATGCGAACTGCTACCAATCATACACATATGCACTAACACACGCAGAGCAGCTCACACGCATTGAGCGTATACACGGACAGTGTCCGTGTGAGGCGCACGTAGGCGCTGAAAGCTTTTTGCCGCACAGCATTTCCTTTTGCGCAGAGAGACACACACGTATGGACAAGTCAGAGAGCATGGGAGAGAGAGAGAGATCGAGGAAGAGCGAGCTTTTGCTTGAGTCGCTTACTGGTGGCTGGTGGCTGCGTCAAAGATCGACGTCGGCAGCAGCCATTGCAGAAACCGTGGAGCAGCATCAAACGGCTTTTGACGGCATCGGCATATAAAAGCTCGCAATGTCTGTGCAAAATTATTCAGTTAACAGTTGCGGGTTGGTTGAGACATACACACCCCGACCAAGTTGTTGAGTGCGCCTGTCTAGAAGTTTAAATAAAGTGCAAAATGAAATCCATGGTATGTTGTGCACAAGCGTACTACAAAAATTCAATCATTTATATAAAAAAAAAAATGGAAACAAAGATGATCGAAACTGCTACAAGTTCTTAAAGTGTCTGCATTATATCATCATATACTTATCACAATGCGATACAACGGAAATTTGTGTGTTTCAAGACTTGAATTATAATTTCGTGACATTTGTCTTAGTAATACTTATCAAATGTGTGCCTTAAATTGCTTAACCGTCAAAATATTTCAGTTCAGCACTAAATAACGTAAATGTTGAAGTCAGTTTAAATAATCGAATTTTATATCAAAATAGGGAGAAAATTTGCACTAAATAAAGAGTTCGCCTTTAGAACATTAGCTTATATATTCGGAATTTATTAAAAAACCTTAAGCAATTAAAATAAAAAATTCAATTCTATCCAACTCTTTAATTTTTTAAATAAAAATTGAAAATACTTCTTCAAATGTTATCAATCAAAATATGCCAAAAAAAAGTTACACAATTATTAAGGTTTTATAATATTTTGCTGCTTTAAAATTGCATTAAAAAAAAAATTAAAATTTAATAGGAAAACCATTAATAAAATGTCACAATGAATTTAGAAACTAAAAACCATATATGCTGATTAGTTTTGTTTTGAAATTGGTTTTTCTTTTTATTTATTGAAATGCGCACTCCCCTACCATTTACACATATATTTCAATAAATTACGCATACGCAGCTACGCAAGTTCTTGCACATTACGCATGCGCCCCGTTGCACGTGACGTGGCTGTAATTATGCTACCATTGAACTTGGCGCGCTGCCAAAGCATGCGACTTCAGCTGGCAGATTGCATAATTGTCATATTTGAAATAATGATAGTGCGACTGACGGAAGTGTTGCCAAGTTATATAATCTTTGTAGTTGCGAGCGATCGATCCACACGGCTAACCCACTTTAAACACTTTTTTACATTTTGCATTGCAGCTCGTTTTTGGCCTGTTGGCTATGTGCGTGTTGGCGGCCAGCGCCACCGAGGAGGCAGCCAAGAAGGTGGAAGTTGTGCCAGCTGTTGAAGCCAGCAGCTCGACGGCTGAGAAGAAGCAGGGCAAGCGTGGCATTAACTATTCCGGCTACGGCTTTGGTGGCTCCGGCCATGGTGGCTCCAGCTATGGTGGCTCCAGCTATGGTGGCTCCGGCCATGGTGTCGTCCTCGGCGGTGGTCTCGGCGGTGGACTCGGCGGTGGACTCGGCGGTGGACTCGGCGGTGGACTCGGCGCTGTCCAAGAGCTGCCTACACAGGTGCGCACCAACACCGTTGTAAGGACCGTGCAGGTGCCCTACCAGGTAGAGCGTCGTGTGCCCTATCCCGTTGAGAAGACCGTTACCTATCCAGTCCAGGTGCCCGTGCCACAGCCCTACCCCGTGGAGAAGGTTGTCCAATACCCCGTGAAGCAGATCGTCAAGGTGCCCGTTCATGTGCCCCAACCCTACCCTGTTGAAAAGGTTATCAGGGTCCCCGTTAAGATTCCCGTCGATCGTCCCTACACCGTTCATGTTCCCAAGCCCTACCCCGTCCCTGTTGAGAAGCCAGTGCCTTACACCGTGGAGAAGCGCGTCATCCAGAAGGTGCCTGTCCATGTCGACCGCCCCGTCCCCTATGAGGTGAAAGTGCCCGTCAATGTGCACGTTGAGAGCCATGTGCAGCCCGCCATTACCGTCACCCACAAGGTCACCCGTACCGAGGGCGCACCAATTGTCAGCGCACCTGTAGTTGGTCATGGCGTCGCCTATGGCGGTGGATACTCTGGTCATGGTATCTCCGGTCATGGTATCTCTGGACCCGGTATCGCCATCGGCCATGGCATTTCCTCTTATGGTGGAGGTCATGGCGTTGCTTATGGCGGTCATGGAAGCTCTGGCCATGGTATCTCTTCGTACGGCACCTCCGGACACGGCGGCTACCTCCACAAAAAGTAGATCAATTTAAACGCTAACGAGGGCCATCAGAAATTTGAAACGGGTGAAGGAGAGAAGGCGCATCAACATCATGTCGAAATATTCCAATTCCCTCAAGAAAAAACAATCAAAAGGAAGAACCCCAAATCCGAACCCGAACTCAAGCCCGCAACCCTCAACGTACGACTTACAATTTAGTTTTAGTTTGTGATACCAGCCGAAATTCTTAGGAGGAAGCAACAATCGTTCAACGGGAAGATCATCAAATGCGGCATTTCGAATAGTGCTTCCGTAGACGGAACACTCTGAAAACTTGCCAGCACCCGCCAAAACCCTAGCCCCAAAAGTCGCATTCGTTTGTCCTGCTTGAGTTGTGTTGTGTCACCCTGCCTCCTTTTATGTACAGTTCTTTCTAGACTGGAAAAACAAAAACAAAAAATCAGTTGCACCTTCGACTTTTTTCACGTCAATTTCTATTCTATGAAATTTTTGTACATATTTAATAATGTAAATAAAAAGAAAATTTAAAAAAAAATACAACATTTTTTCATCAATTAAATATTAATAAATGATACAAAGTTGCCTGTTGTCTAAGTGGATTATTCATTTTGAATAATAAGTGTTTTTACTTAATATCATTATGTCAAAAAAAATGTTTTCAGTTCGTTTTTGAAAGAGCAATGTCTGCAAGAAGACAACACATAGAGGCGTCGACTATAAGCTGGCTGTGTTCTCTGCTTAGTGGTAAAATAATAAACAAATTTGGGTTTGTAATTTTCTACTAAAGAACTTATTAAGCATGTACATGTACATGAAAATATGTTCAATTCTTCAATAAATAGTAAACCTGTAAAAAGCATAACAACATATTTCAATTGAATATTGTTTTCTAAAAAAGCTCTAGAGTCATTAATGGAACCCAACTTGAAACTTGCCTATGATTTTATTGTAGTTGCAACTGTCAGTCAAAGCTTATGTTCAGGTATAAGTCTATGTGCACAAATTATGCTATACTTTTTTTACTCATATATTTAATATGTACTGTTCATTTTCAACAATCTAAGCCTAAGACTATGCAATAGTAAAAACTGGAAGAACATTCAAGAAATCTTATTGTGTATTTAGATACTCTGATACTGAATGCATACTTTATAGATGTCATGCAATCTATGTATATTTCCAAAAATAACGACACTAGATTTACCACATTAAATTGTACAGTATTCTCCAAAATTTCGTTTTATAAAATGTAATCAGTTTGTTGTATAAAACAAAAGTTTTCCAAGTAGCCTGTGCTAAAGATTCCCGTTTGTGTATAAACAATGTAATTGAATATTATTGAAACTTCAGTTTATATGCACAATGCAATCTGCATCAACTATATTTCTTTTAATATTATATGTCAAATTATTTTTGTCGTCGTCGTCAACATCACATGCACAATAATTTTTGTTGTTAAAGTCATCTTGAACTTAAATCCGACTTCTGGTATTAAACCGACATTGCAGATATCGCCCCCTTCCATTTCTTTATTTTATTATTCTCTATACCATGTGTGCATAAAATAAGTTATAACAATATTGATTAGAAAATATATTTGAGGTAATTATATATGTATATATATACATCTAAGGTCCAGGATGACATAATCAAATAATAAAAATAAAATAATTTAAGTAATTGTCGGTCTACATATAATTTTGAAGTCAATGTTGTAATTCTAACATTTATGTAAAGTACCATATTACATGAAGCAAATTTTTAAAAACAAATTCTATTGGGAGGCTAAAGTTTCTGATTCTTTGTGGTAAATATAGCGAACATATGCACAACACTTGATATCTTTACTATTTTTATCAATTAGCAAAAACAAATACAGTTTTTAATTTCTGGATTTCGAAATTCGGAATAATTTTCATTTGTGTGGATTTTGACTGTGACACATATACCGGACATTTCGATAAGCTCAGCTCTGGTATTTATAATAATATATGTGTAGATATACGTTTATCTCGAGTTAGTACGCAATGTATGGAATATTATTTGCATGAGTTTAAAGCGATTTAAAAGTCGCTCATAATTAGTTTCATTCTGTAAACGCAGCTAAGCGGACCAGAATATTTAGACCATGGGCTGCACTCGAAGTCATTTCATTTGGGCTTATTTGGTCCTTGCAATTGGTTTTGTGGGTGCCAGGAGTGTTCAATTTAAGAACACTTGTAAGATCGATGAGAAATCGAGTGATTTTATCAACAAGGAAATGGAAAAACTGGATAAAAATGTACACTCAACGGTAAGAGTCAAATGAAAGATTGTGTACTTCGTCTTAAATCAAATATTCTGTGTCATGCTAGCAACAACTTGCGTATGAGTGCTGTCCCGGTTACTCTGGTCCCATCGACAATTGTCAACCCATCTGCTCTGAGGGGTGCGGTGACAACGCCTACTGCATGTCGCCGGAGATCTGTAAGTGTTTAGAGGGTCATGAAAAGGTCGAGGGAGGTGGATGTGAGCAGCAGAAAGATCTACATTTGTGCACCGCTGAAGTTGAAGTGGATTATGCTGATTATGAGCCGCTATCAATGAAATATTTTGGACCCATGGCTGAAGAATATGAAGCCCATAATCTCGACCTGAGTGATGTTATCATTCCTAAAGTAAGTACAATATATATATAAATGTATATTTATCTAACAGAATACTATTTAATTAAATCATAAGATTTTTATTCGATTGTATTGTAATTTTATGTATTATATAGACAAAAACCAGGCTAGAAAACAAGACGGTTTGTTGCGAAGGCTACGAGAGAGAAGACGAGAAATCACCCTGTGTTCTCAAGGATCCCAATTTGTGCACAAGAGAAGTGGAGGTAGATTTAGTAATGGATGAGACAGAAAAGAAGATTAGGCAAGATTTGCGAGAATCGTTTAGCATAATGCTTGTGAGTAAACAAAAGTTTCTAAATAATCTAAGTTGCGAAAATAATTATTGTTATAGCCAACCACTAGGATGGAAATACAACAAGATTGCTGCGAAGGTTACAAGCGGCAGTCGATATCGGATCTATGTCAGCCCGTGTGCAGTACCAAATGTGTTGAGAATAGCGTTTGCAAAAAACCCAATACATGTGAGTGCCTAGTTAACTACCATATGGGATCAGATGGGGAGTGCGTAAGGAAATTCAAAGCTCACGATCCACATGTGTGCAGCAGGGAAGTGAACGACGATGAGTCGGACAAGAATAGGGTAAGCTGCAAAGCATTGTAAAATACATCATTGAATTTAATAAAATATATTCCTATAATTAGATTAAAGACAGTGCCGAATTAGAGCTGTACTGCTGTGACGGCTATGAGCAGAATTCGACTAGCACTCTCTGTGAGCCCAAATGCAGCAAGGGATGTGGTCACAATTGCCGATGTGTGCAGCCCGAGGTGTGTAAATGTGAAGAAATCAACTGCCAGTGTGAAACTGGCTATTTTAAAGGAAAATCTGGACTCTGTGAGCCAATTTGTACAGCGGGTTGTCCTGCACACAGCAGCTGCATAAGCCCAGATAAATGTGGGTGCCATGAAGGTTACAAGATCGACAACAGCGGCTGCCAGCCCATCTGCTCGGGGGCCCAGCCAGAGCACAGCAAATGCATGCGACCGGGCGAATGGGAGTGCGATTTGGGATATATTAAAGTCCCCACTGTGGATACGCTGGCCTACTCTTGTGAACCACATTGTAGGCAGAGCTGCTCCAATTACGGCAAATGTGTGAAGCCCGATTACTGTGAGTGTCTGCCGGGCTTCGAACCATATGATAATTTCGAAGAAATGGTCATTGAGAGATGCAAACCGATTTTAAACGGGTCAGGTTTAAGTACCAAGGCAAGCACAACAGAGCACATCTCAAAAGATGTACCAATTTCATTTCGAAGCAATAAACATAATTCATTCAATTAAAACATAATTATTATATTTTGAACAATTTGCAAAAATAAACTGTCTTCGTTACTGACATGCTCAGCAGTAAATCTTTTACTTGGCCGATAATTATATAAATCAATTATTTGTCTTTTGATATTACATTTTAAATTACCTTCATGAAGAAGAATAAATAGACTTTCATATTTGTCGCCGTTACTAACATAACATGCATGATAACATTTGTTGCGCGCTTTAAAGTTTAAAGTCGCCTTGAACTTGAATACGCCTTCCAGTATTAAGCCCACATTGGAGATGTGGCGCCATTTAATTTTGTGATTTTATTATTTTGTATATCATGTGTACATAAATTATGATATAACAATACTGATTAAAAAATTGTTTTGGTTGTTTCAGCAAGACTTATTATATGTATCCATTTCGGTATGACACAGTCAAATAACTTTCGGAATACATTTATTTTTGGAAGTTATCGTTGTATTTTTAACACTTATCAAAAATACAAATGTATACAGCAAATACTTAGAAACAAATTTTATTGGGTGTGTCAAAGTCTTTGTTGTAAATATAGCGACCATATGCACAACACTTGATATCTATACTATTTTTATCAATTAGCAAAAACAAATACAGTTTTCAATTTCTGGAATTCGAAATTCGGAATAATGTTCATTTGTGTGGATTTTGACTGTGACACATATACCGGACATTTCGATAAGCTCAGCTCTGGTATTTATAATAATATATGTGTAGATATACGTTTATCTCGAGTTAGTACGCAATGTATGGAATATTATTTGCAAGAGTTTAAAGCGATTTAAAAGTCGCTCATAATTAGTTTCATTCTGTAAACGCAGCTAAGCGGACCAGAATATTTAGACCATGGGCTGCACTCGAAGTCATTTCATTTGGGCTTATTTGGTCCTTGCAATTGGTTTTGTGGGTGCCAGGAGTGTTCAATTTAAGAACACTTGTAAGATCGATGAGAAATCGAGTGATTTTATCAACAAGGAAATGGAAAAACTGGATAAAAATGTACACTCAACGGTAAGAGTCAAATGAAAGATTGTGTACTTCGTCTTAAATCAAATATTCTGTGTCATGCTAGCAACAACCTGCGTATGAGTGCTGTCCCGGTTACTCTGGTCCCATCGACAATTGTCAACCCATCTGCTCTGAGGGGTGCGGTGACAACGCCTACTGCATGTCGCCGGAGATCTGTAAGTGTTTAGAGGGTCATGAAAAGGTCGAGGGAGGTGGATGTGAGCAGCAGAAAGATCTACATTTGTGCACCGCTGAAGTTGAAGTGGATTATACTGATTATGAGCCGCTTTCAATGAAATATTTTGGGAACGTGGCTGAAGAAGACACCAAAAATATCGATCTGAGTAATATTCTCATTCCCAAAGTAAGCTTAGTATATATTAAGAATAAAAATATATTTCTAAAGAATTATCTTTAATTATATCTTAACATATTTATTCGTTTATATTGTAATTTTATGTATTATATAGACAAAAACCAGGCTAGAAAACAAAACGGTTTGTTGCGAAGGCTACGAGAGAGAAGACGAGGAATCACCCTGTGTTCTCAAGGATCCCAATTTGTGCACAAGAGAAGTGGAGGTGGATTTAGTAATGGATGAGACAGAAGCAAGGATTTGGCAAGCTATTAAAGAAGACTTTACCAAATTGACTATTGAATTTCCGAAAGATTTGCCCGTGAGTAAACAAACATTTCCAAATGATCCAAGTTGCGAAAATAATTATTGTTATAGCCAACCACTAGGATGGAAATACAACAAGATTGCTGCGAAGGTTACAAGCGGCAGTCGATATCGGATCTATGTCAGCCCGTATGCAGTACCAAATGTGTTGAGAATAGCGTTTGCAAAAAACCCAATACATGTGAGTGCCTAGTTAACTACCGTATGGGATCAGATGGGGAGTGCGTAAGGAAATTCAAAGCTCACGATCCACATGTGTGCAGCAGGGAAGTGAACGACGATGAGTCGGACAAGAATAGGGTAAGCTGCAAAGCATTGTAAAATACATCATTGAATTTAATAAAATATATTCCTATAATTAGATTAAAGACAGTGCCGAATTAGAGCTGTACTGCTGTGACGGCTATGAGCAGAATTCGACTAGCACTCTCTGTGAGCCCAAATGCAGCAAGGGATGTGGTCACAATTGCCGATGTGTGCAGCCCGAGGTGTGTAAATGTGAAAAAATCATCTGTCAGTGTGGGACTGGTTATGTTAAAGGAAAATCTGGACCCTGTGAGCCAATTTGTACAGCGGGTTGTCCTGCACACAGCAGCTGCATAAGCCCAGATAAATGTGGGTGCAATGAAGGCTACAAGCTGAGCAACAGCGTCTGCCAGCCCATCTGCTCGGGGGCCCAGCCAGAGCACAGCAGCTGCATGCGCCCGGGCGAATGGGAGTGCGATTTGGGATATATTAAAGTCCCCACTGTGGATACGCTGGCCTACTCTTGTGAACCACATTGTTCAAAGAGCTGCTCCAGTTTCGCTAAATGTGTGAAGCCCGATTATTGTGAGTGCCTGCCAGGTTTCACACCGTTTCGCGTTCGCTATGTTAAGCAGGATTTCGTTGTGAGTTGTCTAAAGGACAGCAACCCGAGTTACTGAAAACTCAAATTTCAAAATGTAAAAGCTTGTATATTCAACTAAAACCAAGTACTTGTACGATTTACAAATATATTTCCAACTTTTTGTTATTAGAAAGGTCAATAAGTGGTCCTTTACTTTCAATGCATTTTGCCACATTTAAGAAAAGTAATAAACATTTTTAATCACAATTAAAAATCTTAGCACGCATTATAAATATGTACAAATTTGTATCTTTATTCCTATTATAATCTTGTTGTTCAAAATTTCGAACTATTATATCATATAGGAGCCATCGGACAACTTATACGTCGCATGTGTGTAATCCATCCATCTTAACAGCACTCAATCTTTCTTCTGACTATGCAAACAAGTCACATAAAACCGTAGTATAAATCAGCTAATGCTAATCTATTAATATAAAAGTGAAAAAAAAAACTAGACTGGCTTCTTGCAGCACACACAAGCAAATTCATAACACTCGTTAACTTTCGCAAATAAGAGCAACTTTGCCAAAGTGGCGATCAAAGTGAACGAGCGGTTCGCGTACAAATTACGCAAGATTTAATGCAGTTGAGAGCATTGAAAGTAAACATTCAAAACAACACACACACACACACACACACAACGCCTAAATCCAGCATAATTAATTGCAATGACAAATGGTGTCGAAAAAAAAACCGAAACAAAATGTTCAAGATCGCTGCCTTCGTCTGTCTGCCGTTTTTAGTGGGCAGCCGCAAGAACCAGTTGCCACAGTTGACCAACGCACAACATTGATCTTGTGCTAAACTAGCGGGAATCGAACCTACTTTATGTCGGTGTGTGTGTGTGTGTGTGTGTGTGTGTGTGTGCTATTTGTATTTGGCAAGTGGCAACGGAGAATGGTACGACCCAAAAACAGAAACAAAGACACAGCAAAGCAAAGTGAATGCAACAGCTGCGTCGCGTAGACGCAATCAATTAGCGCTATGTGATGACGTCGACGCTACCGTTGGCGTTGCTGCCACATGTGTCGGTTGCGTCATGGCGCCAAGCAGACCGTCTAGCGTTAATTTACCAGCAATTTCTTTTGCAGCAACTTTTTGGTTACAAAGAAATTTGCCAAATAGGTTGCAATATGTGGTTGCCAATCCGCGAAAGCAAAGCTCTGAGACGGCCACAGCTTCGAGATTGCTGTAATTTAGTCGGACTTAGTATACAGTATAGTTGAAACTAATATGGGCAACAAATATAGAAAATGATATATGCAAATATAAAACATTTTCCACATTAATTATTACTTTAATCTAGTTAATATGAATGACGATTAACGTCTATTGATATGGAACATGTAATCCTTTCTGAAGGTGGTCTGCCGTAATAGTAATATATTTAAAAAGTACTTGCTTAAATCATTTGTAGTTAATTTTATACTTTATAATCGTGCAACTTATTTTGAGGACTTGCCACTTCATTGATTTTAATTACACATGCTGTTAGCTGTATTTATATAAATTAACTTCCAGTTATTTGCCAATTTTAATGCATTCATAATGCATCTTTAATGCACTTTTTTCTGCAGCAAGGAAGTGTTTAGTCTCTTGTACGCCCCATTTTCAGGTTTTGACAAACTTCGTAAGGCAATTAATTTAATGAACGTCTGCTGCCGTAAAATTTGTTTTATTTACGAACAAACAATTCGTAAATAATGAGACAATTAACACACATTCTGAGTTGTTTTGCAATTTTCGTTTGTTTCCATGTCTCTGTTTAAAATCGGTGGCCGTTGTATGCTTCAAATATGTACCTGAAAATGTTTTATTCGCTGCTGCTGCTGCTGCTGCTGCTTGGGCAATAACTTAATTATTTTATGTTTTATTTGTGCTTTTGTTAATTTACGAACATTTTAGTGCTGCCTAATTACAGTTCGCGCTATATTTTTTCAGCAAGAGCGGGTTAATCGTTAAGTTGTGATGAAGGTAATAACTTAAATAATTATTATATATATTTATATGTATATTTATATTAAAAAATTAAAAAAAATGCCAAAATATATAAATAAATATAAATTTGTGAGTTGAATTTAAACAAGTCATTTCTGGTTTATTTTCCAAAACAGTTCTTTACTAACATATACATTTCTAGATTTTATTATTTATCTATGCAAGATTCAACAGATATTGCTTATTTTGTTTTTATCCTTTACTCATATACCTTAACCAGTGAATAATATTATTTAGATTTGCATGCTTCCTTTACTTATTTTGAACAGGCTTCATTTAACTTTTCAAGCCGCCCTCGCTTCTGCAAAACCCAAAGCAACTTCATCTACGCCTCAGTGCGGCCAAAAGCGGCAGCCAAAAAATAAAGAAACAACAAGAAACAAGACCGAACACAAAGGCTACCAAATAAATTTACAAAATATGCAGCTAGAGTCGACTTCACAGCATAATATTTATTCAATTTACGCAATTTACATTAAAAGCAATAACAGCAACAGAAACATTGCTTGGCATTTGATTGCCAACAGTGTTTTTTGGTATTGTTGTAATTATGCACTCAAAAGAAAAAACCCCAAAAAGGCACTACAAACAACTACAAAAAACTTAAGCCCAAGTCCATGATGATTTGATAGCAAAAGTTCAGCAAATGAACAAAAGGAAAACAAACAAAATGAGGACAACGCGATTTAAAGTTTGGTAAATAAATCTTCTAGTTTTTATGCAAATTACATGACGAGTAAGTCAATGGGTCAAGACACGCCCCCGGCAACCCGGAAAGCTGCAGCACTCCTCCTTGCCCGCTGCCACAGTAACAACTGCCGCACAGCTGCAGCTCGATTTCCAGAGGCGGAATTACTTATTATGATAATAAATTGATTTTGACTGGTTTTTCTGGCTCTTTTAAAACATTTTTTGTTTTTGCCATGGGTTGGTGTAAAATTTGCATAGATCAACAGTTGGCCTGCGACTGGCTATTAGATTAGGCCAATGGCCGAAAGCCGACAGTCGACAGTCGACACTTCCTGGCAGTTGAAGAGATATGTTAGGCAAAGCCATAACTTGATTAAATGCAGTTCCCTCCCGTCGCTCCTTGCCGCATTGGCTGATCAATTGGGCGCAGCAATCAACGGCGCGTGACACTTTGGCCATGTTAACAACAAATAAATGCACAATAACAACGACTCAATCATAAAAATTAAAAGACGCGCTGTAAGAGTTCAAATGCTTTTGCCATTGACCTCTTTTCGCTAACGATCAGAGAAGAGAAGTGTTCGGCGGGGCGATTCAATTGCCGTGATTATCACTTTCAAATCAAATCAACGGCTTTTTCGTACGTCAATGTCATGAAAAGGCAGCTGATTGAAAGGGCGAAGATTGCAGTTTACATACAAAATACAATTTACCTGCGCAACTCATTTTACTGACAGGTCTTTCTAAAGTCATTAATTTAAAATGCAAACCATATTTTGTGTGGAGCATCGCATCAATCAGTTAAATAGTTTGTTTAATTGGAAATTCAACAACTTTAAAATTGTCAGACAAACCTTAGACATACATTTATTCGAAATATATGTTCTCATCTGACATATCGGTCAATATAACATATGCCTTGGGTTCAAATATCTCATGAATTTTTCAATATTTCACAAATGTTATAACACCATTTTTGTCGCATTTTCTCTAATTGTTTTGGAGATCCATCAGTTCTTATAGATCAGCAAATAAATCAAATATTTTTAAAAAATCTGCAACTAAAGTTACGCAATGTTATTATTATTTTGAGACATATTTTGACTACTTACTTTATATGTAAAAGTAATTTATTTGAATACCAGTGACTTGGCAAAAAAGAGGGCCTCAAATTTACCAAGCTCAACTGACAGGGTACAGTAAGAGTTACTTGGCCACTTTGTCAGTCAGTGAGATTTTTAAACAGCGGCAACTGCCTTCGATCGACCTTGACCAGCAATGCAATGAACCCTCCATTAAAAAATCGTTGAAACTACCGAAACTTAAACCGTTACCAGCCTGGGTAGATAACAAAAAAAATATGAAGAGATAATGTCACATAAAATGTCATAACTGTCTGTTTGAATTTCGGCTTTAGCCTCGTCAGGCCCCATTTGCCAGATTATCTGCCAAACAATTGGAACGAAATGGAAGTGGAATGTAAAATCACGTCCATAGCTCAACCACAATAAACTGTTTCACAAATCACAAAAAGCGGCTGCTAACAAATGCAAATGCGAATTGAAGACGCCTCCAAAAGATGATTAATCGACAGCTGCTTCAGAGTTGGCACTTTTGTTGACATCGCAACTGATTAACTATACAAACTTATACAAACCAAACCAAATTTATGTAAAGCTACATCTAACAAAAATCTATATAATAATATAGATATAAGACAAGGTCAGGTCACCTGACGCTTTCAAAAATGAAAAACCTAAAATCAATGTTTACATTATTAAAATATATATATATATATAAATATATTTATATATATATATTTATACATATATATCTACTCGTGGTCTTTAATTAATTCAAGGAAGTGTGTAATTGTTGCTGTTGGATTTAAGACAATGGCGCTTATGAGCACTCGCAGCTATCTATCAAAAGCAAACAAACAAACAAACAGACAAACCATACAAACCGTTGGCGCCCCCATGCAAACTTATGACATAAGCAGCTGGAACGTCTAATGCCAGCCTCCTGTTATTGCCTTTCTTTCACACTTGCTCTCACTCTCACTCACTCACTCTCACTCTCGCTGTTGCAGTTGCAGTTGCAAGCAAATCGAACAATATGTGGTCAAGACATGCAAGCAATGCGAATGAAACTAAATCGAAAGTTGCATGCAACAGAGCAACAGTAACAACAAAAAACTACAGAGCCGATCGTAACAGCTGTGCCAGTCTCTCATTTTCTCAGCTTTTCAGTCTCTCAGCCATACATACATACATACATGCCATATGTGAGACCCATTGACATAATAACGAGGAAGGTAACCAAAGTAAGACTTGACTTCTGCTTCTTCAATTACAACGACCCACGACCAACTGAAATTGAAACGTATTGCCGCACTGCCCCCAAAAAACTTGTTGGCAGCGGTTTAGGTTACGGTTGCCGACCGCACCACCGAGGCATATATGTGGCACAATGACACAACTCTCAGCCAAAATGACCGAATGACACACTCCCTTTGTTGACAAACGCTTCCCCACTTTTTCTTCCCAGCTGACCACCAACGGCTCGCCCAGCGCTCAGCCAGCTCGTGTTTTGGGTGCTCTTAACTTGTTTGGGTCTGGTCAAGTGAATGTACGAAAAGTAAAGGTACTGCAATTGGCATAGCAATTGGAATTGGAATTGGTCTTTGTGCTCAGATGACCGGTGACAGGTTGCATCGTGAGCTAACCAAAAATTTGTAATTTAAGGAGTGGAGATTCACGAAAGAGAAAATTTAACATTTGATCCAATGGAAAATACTTTGAAAAGTTGATCTGCTCAATAGATGATAATAGGAAATTTTGAGAACTGACTCAGGAAACTTGCAACTCTGTGTTAACTTTTATAAATATTGAAAAACAATAAAAATTGAGCATTGATTAAAAGTAGCTAGTAGTTGTTCTAGCGAAAATATTTAAATATAAAGTAATAAGATTTTTCAATGCATACATATACATTTGTATTTCTTACTCATTACATAAGCGTTATTATCTAAAGTAAATATAGAAAATATAATAACAAATTGCTTTTAGCTTAAACATAAGATATTTCCTGACCTATTAAGAAAATTACCAAAAATATAAGCGGGTCACCTATTAGCCTATTACAGCTGGAAGTAAAGACACATATATTAAATTTTAAATTTATCTGAGTTGTGTCAACATTTTTGAAATACTAACCAATATCTTAGTACTATGCAAATATGTACAATTAACACAAATTTTAAAAATGATTTTGAAGTGTTGTGAATGCGTCGCATCTGATGCATTAAGTATTATTCAATTATAAAAAAAAATTGTTGTTTATTATTATTAATGATGTTGTTGTTGTTAATGCTGCGAGTCAATGCTCGTAAAAAGCTTGAGAAACCACCACTGCAACAACAACAACAACGACAGCTGCAACAACAAACGGCAGTTGTCGGTAGTCGAATTAGGCAGCAAAATGGCACGCATCCATAGAGATACCATTCCCTCCCCCTCCACTCCTCAGGCAGTCCCTCTGCCTGAACAACTATGATTGCAATTGCTGCATTTGGCGTCGCTTGCCACTTCGCTGCATTGAGTTCGCGCCTCCGAAATCCCAGCAAGCAGCCAAGCAACTAAGCCCGACAACGCGACTAGCCACGAACAACCATTCACCATTCGCCGTATGTGTTTTTGTTTAAGCTAGTGCGATTATGATTATACTCTGCTATATACAATTGCTGTTGCTGTTGTTGTTGATGTTGCTGTTGCTGTTGTCGTTGTGGCTGGTCGTCGGGCTTGTTTGATTCGTCGAATCCAACGAAGTCGCCGTCGTCGTCGTCGTCAGCGTTGTCGACATTGTTGTTGCTCAGTAATTCGCTTGTGTCTTGGGTGTAAGTTAGAGTATAAAAGTTGGAGCAGGCGCTGCAGAAGGCATCATTAAACCGTTAACCATCGAACAGTGTGGAGTGGCACAGCACGTGTGTAGAGAGTTTGGTTAAGATCGTCTGCTCCCCTTTTCAAAAAATAAAAAGAAACCTCTTTAAAAGACCTATATCGATCGTGCGGCATAACATAAAAGCGGGACATAGTTCGACCGATACCTAACCATCCACAAGGATATTTTACGCCAGCAACATGAAGTTGATGGTATGTATTAAGGATCTTCTAGTGCAGTGTTGTGAAGTGTACACAAAAACTTGAAAGCTTAATAACAGCAATTCAAAAGTGAAAGAATTTACTGCAAAAGGAACTTAAGAAAATTCAAACTGATCGAATTCCCAAGAATGACATCCTAAAACTGAACTATTAAGAATACGGCCCTGACTTCATTTCCACCACTTTACACATTTTACTTTTTGCAGCGTACAGCGACATCGGTCGCGCTGGTGCTGCTGCTGGCCACAAGCTATGCACAGGCTGGTGGCGATGAAAAGGTGGAGGCTGCCGAGAAGACAGCAATTGAGCCGACGGAGAAGAAGGCTGTGGAGACAGCTGCTGCTGCCGAAGACACCACAAAATCAAAGCGTGGCTTGCATCACTATGAGGATTACCATCACCATCATGTGCCACACTATCCCGTCCATGAGGAGAAGACACTGACGGTCATCAAGAAAGTGCCAGTGCCAGTGCCCATTGAGAAAATTGTCCATGTGCCCGTTGAGAAGCACATTCATGTGCCCGTGAAAGTCAAGGTGCTAAAGCCCTATCCAGTTGTCAAGCATGTGCCCTATGAGGTAAAGGAGATCATCAAGGTGCCCTATGAAGTGCCACAGCCATATCCCGTCGAAAAGAAGATTCCCTATGCTGTTCATGTGCCCTATGATCGCCCAGTGCCCGTCAAGGTATAGATTCTAGCTGCTTCATTGCGACTCCTTGGATAACCCCTTGTTAACCACCACCAACACTTTAGGTACATGTGCCCGCACCCTATCCCGTTGAGAAGAAAGTCCATGTGCCCGTCAAGGTTCATGTGCCCGCACCCTATCCCGTCGAGAAAATTGTCCACTACAAGGTAGAGAAGCACGTGCATGTCGACAAGCCCTATCCCGTTGAGAAGGTTGTGCACTACCCAGTCAAGGTGCCCGTCGAGAAGCCAGTTCCCCACTATGTGGACAAGCCAGTGCCCCACTATGTTGACAAGCCAGTGCCAGTGCCCGTAATCAAGAAGGTGCCCGTGCCCGTTCATGTGCCTTATGATCGTCCAGTGCCCGTCCATGTGGAGAAGCCAGTGCCGTATGAGGTGAAAATCCATGTGCCTGCCCCATACCCAGTGATCAAGGAAGTGCCCGTTAAGCATGAGAAACAAGTGCCGTACCCAGTGAAGATCCCAGTGGAGAAGCCCGTCCATGTCCACATTGAGAAGCATGTTCCCGAGTATCATGAGAAGCACGTCAGCTACAAGGAGCCAGAGTTTGTCCACAAACACATCGAGGAGGAGCATCATCATCATCATGAGCCCATCCATCATCATTCATCGTATTCGGCACCCATTGAGGAGCATCATGAACATGAGCATGAGGTGCAGCATGATTTTAACTATCATGATTACCATTCATACCACGGTTACTAAATTGGTGAAATGAATTTCTTTCTCACTCTTTCTTTGCAGCATTGATAAAATCGGTTATGAACGGTAACGGTTATGAGTGGATAAATAGCTAAACATAACAATATTACAACCATCACAAAAAAAAACAAAAAAAATATAACAAAAAATAACAAAAATAACATCACTTAGAAACATTGCAATTCCAAAACATTTCCATATCATTACCAATTACCTAACATTCCAATTACACTTTGCTATATCGAACGTGATAACGATAGAGATTCTGATATCAATTTATAATGTGACAATACGAACTTACTTAGTTTTTACACACAACGAACTCTCTTTTAGCTTAAGCCATACAAGAAAACAAAAACAAAATAACAAAAAACAAGAAAACGTTGACGAAAATATCCCTTGAGAAATGTTATGAGAAATTATGAGACGATTAGACTAGACTTTAAGAACAAGATACAACACATTTGGGCTCACACAACAAGAACAAGACCCATGACAAGACCAACAATAACAAGAACAATAACAACAGTAATAGCAACAACACATACACAATATGAACACCTTCAGCAGGATCAATTTGGATGTGTTGTTGGACTTGAACTACTTGGCTCTCGCTCTTCCTGGGTACATTTGGCGTGGTTGGCTGCTGCTGTATTGTCCTCCAGCTGCGGCTACTCCTCCTTCTGCTCTGGTCCACCGACTTGTGCACCCGGTTCGGTTCGGTTCGGTTCAATATGTGTTTGAGATCTGATTTGCATTGTAAGCGTGTGATAAAGACTTCTGTTTAGTGTTTAAGTGTAGACTCTAAGGATAAGGAAGGCACTCCTGCCCCAGCAGTTGCCCATTTAAGTCAGTTTGTAAACGAACGTATTGTATTATTTTTGTAATAATTTTTGCTACCTAGTTTTTAATGCAACCATCTATATATAGTTTTGCTTATTGTAAAAAGCAGCTGAAACGGATTTATAAAAAGTACTTAATTTACCAAAAATATTTTTTGTCTCTGTAAAAAAAATACAAACAACAAAAACAAACAATGATAATGAAGCTGATGAATGTAAACAATAAAAATGAAAAAAAAAAAATCAAGTGATCAAAACTAAAACCATCAATTTTATTTTTATTTATTTGAACAACTCAAAAAAGATTTCGAATTATTTCCAATTGAAAATATCTACATATTTGGTCAATTTAAAATAATATAATTTCTTCTACATTTTTCAAACGCTTTTCAGCCTTTTATTTAGTCTTTCGATTGGAACACATTTGAAATATGTACAAATGTCAATAGATGGACAACTTTACAATAAAAGATCAAAAATAATATAGTTTAGCATTCACTTCCATTGAAACACAAGTTGCTGAATATTCAATTAATATTATGAATAGCTCAAATCTGTCCAAGTTAAACTGAATACTAAATAACTGCAAACTATTTTCTTTATCTGGAGAAAAAACTATTTAAAATTGTTCGCAAGTTCTTTTAAGAACTTGACTTCAAATTCTCCTATATATATATATTTTCTCTGAACCACTTTAAAGTATATTTCCTCATTTTCAGCAAGCTCCTTTCAATATTAGCATTTTCTTGCACAAGTGGCAAAAATTAAAGTCATAACTCAACCCAACCCAGTTTAAGTTACTTTCCCACCACGTCTCACTCTGCCAGTGTCTGCAAGTCAGCAGAGACAGAGCATGCTCAAGCTGAACTCCAATCAAGTCATTTCGTATAGACCATAAACGGCTTATCTAATTTTCAAATGAGGTAAACATTGCCTCTCATTCATAATTGCATATGCAAAGTGTCTCTCGCCCACTGAGAGAGGCTTGGACGCAGGCAACATGTTTATTACATTTGCCACACTATGTTTTTATTATTACGCTTTTCATGCCACAACCGCAACAGCAACAACAAAGACAACTTGCTGACGGCAGTCGCGTCTATTTCCTAGCGTTTATTTTGTGGTCTGGCATTACTTTTTATTAGCACCGCCGATTAGTGTGTGGTTCGTGTGGTTTCTGTGGTTATACCCTATGCACACAGCATATCCAACAAAGAGTATTATAAAGATTTATATATAAACCAAAAATCATCGGGAGAGGAGGAATTAAAATGACAGGATGTCTCAATTCTTCAAGAGATCAAGTTTATTTAAAATTTCTTCTCCACTAATCTGCAAATCGATACATGTCGATTCTAAGAAATTCATAATAAATTCTTAACGAACTGTTTTAAAAAGAAAACGTATTGAAAGTTTTTTATTATAAATTACAGGGAAGATATAATACAATAATATATAAGTTTTATATAAAAGAAAATATATATAGTAATATAAATTATATTGTCATTTATATAAGCAAAATGGACTGCATATGAATTATTTGACAAGTAATTATAGAGTATTTCCCAGTCCAGCAATTGATTGATATTCAAACTTATGGCTGCCTACGCCAACGGCTTGTCGGAGTCGACGGGGAGTATTAAGATTAGGTTTCAATTTGCATTTCGGCTTCATTGAAGCCATGCTGCAATTTCAGTCCGTTAAGTGGGGCATAGATTTATCACGTTTTCCTTAGTCGGTTTGTAGGACATGTGCTCCTAACCGATATTTGAGACAAAAGCTAAAACACAACCACATGCGCCGAGTGTTGTGAAACGAACTGAAAAGTGTTCAGAGCACTGACTCTGTGACTATGGCTCTAACTTTGTTTTATTACCATATCTAGGCTAACTTACTCTCTTGGTGGCTAACCGATTTCTGGTAGCTGTTGTTTATGTAACTGTAACTGTAACTGTAACTGTAGCATTTGCAGTTTATGGATTATGCAATAAATAATCAACACACAATGGCCTATCCAAAGCGACTGAATAGAATGGCCAGCTATAAAATCAGACTAATGGGTTTTTTTCCAGTAAGCTGCAATTAAAGTGAGGTCCATAAAAAATGAAAACATACCTGTTTTGGGTTGATAACATAGGTTTGCAAACATTCAATTATCTCCAAGTTACTAACTTTATATTAATGACTATCTAAAATATATGTTTATATGTACCTATTTTGGAATATGCACTACACCTTGAAAGAACCTCAACGTTGTCAAAACAAACCGCAAACTATGGTTGTTAGCCAAAAAAAAAACCAATCTTATGTAACATGCTGCCGCTATTGTGGTTTGTGATAATTTTGAGCGCCTTGTCTTACATTTAAATGGGCGTACAATAAAAGACCAAAGATAATACAATAGGCAGCACAAAACAATGGGCGATCGGCATGGTCAGCTCTAATGGGGCAGTCATTGACACCAAAAATTTTCTTGGACGGTGGTGTTGGTGGTGCCATCCATTGCACCACATGGCGTTGCTTTTGAGACGCGTCAAAATTTGCATTTGCATTAGCCGGAAAAATGCGTTTTTTTTTATTGTTGTTTTGATTGGTTTAATGGGTCAGTTAGCCAGACAAACGGCCTGCATACACATATCTACATACATATATCCATATATATTCATACAACTGTTCATGTGTTTTGTATGTGTGGTTTGATATGTGGTTTTTCGTAACAGTTTCTATATGGGATTATTTAAATGATGTCAGAGCCAAAGCCAAAGCAGCGACGAGCCGGTCTCCAGCTTTGGCAGCAGCCAAGTGGAAAGTGAATGCGGGAAATATCGTCGACATGCGAGTTTTTCTTTCTCGCACACACACACACGCACACACACACACACATGAGCACATGCAATGTGTGCAAATGTGTAGCGGTCTACTGGATTGGTCATTATGTGCAGTCAGTGGGCCAAATTTGTGGCCAGTTGGCGGATTGCTTCGGTTTCTTAGCGAACCGAATATTGCGACTCGTAATCGCCGTCAATTTGACGGGAAATATTCGATATTTATGTGTGTGAGTGTGTGTGTACTTGTTTATAAATTTTAATCGAAATGAGTTAAATTAATAACATACTTTTGTTTGTTTTGTTTTTAATTGCTGCATATGCGTTATGTGGCAAATTAGATAAGAGAAACATTTTGTGCGGTAATACAACATGCAGTCAATAAGACGCTGGCAAATAAAGAAATAAATGCGTTATCAACAAACTGCATTTTCAGGAAGAAAATTATATAAGAGAAATCTTTAAGTGATATATTCCAACATGAGACAAGCATCGGAAAACTAACAAAATATTTTATGATGGAATATATTTGAAATATATTAGAGATCAGCTTTGACAGAATCAGAGTTATGCCAACAATAAATTAATTTAAATATATATTTATGAATTATTCTTAAAATAATATTCCAAGCCTTTGTGTTCTTACTTTCATCAATGAATGAAGTAGAGACGGAATGTAAGGAACGTAATGTGAACTCACACATTTTAAATATAATACTTGAATTGATTTAAAGAGAGATAATTATGAACTTTACGCAATAATATTTTTCATATTACTTTGAAAGATTGTAATGATAGTTTTAATAAATCAGGCCAACCTCATGCTGGTTATTCAAACAGCAGCAATATTCAACATTTTATCCATCTCACAATGTTCACAATAGTAAAAGAAAAACTGTACTCACTTAACATAGGGTATATTTGCGGGTATATGATATTTAGCGCCCAAATCAAAGTCCTTCTCAGAGCGTAGAACTGGAGGCTTAATTCCCGAATACCTCTCACTGCAAACAAGCGCCAAATGCTTAAGTAGTTCAAAATCAAAGTAAAGCCCATGCTTACCGCAAATTCCAATAATGACAGTTCATAATTCGCTTATTCACATTGCCACTGAAGACGTCGTAGCGCCAGTTGTCCAAAGCCAAGGCGAAGGGCAGAAAAGCAACCTATTCCGCAGTATATTGATTATTCATGCACCTATTATTCATAAGTCATAGTCATTCACCTTATCAATGGCCATGGTGAACAAATAGTTGATATCATAGCTGGACTCATCCAGTGATCTCTGAAGCAGGCCCAAAGTTTGCAAATGCTTTGGCGTGGATACAGATAGACCGATGGCATCGCCCACAGCCTGATGGAAGGCGGGATTGGCACCGTTGCGAAAGATCTTCGGGTGGTGACGATACTGCAGGAAGTACTGAATATGCGCCATTTCATGATGAACGCTAATCAGACTGCGCTGATTGATGTCAGTGCAGATCTTCACACGGAAATCGTGACGATTGCAAAAGTCCCAGGCGGAGGGTTCGCAGAGCACTCGCCTGTCCAACGGCTGCTCGAATACGGAATTCCTATAGAAATCCGGACCCACAGCCGACATATTGATGGAGGTAAAGAACTCCTCGGCCAGTTGGAACATTAGCAGCGGCGTATATCCCTGCTCCACCATGCGAGGCGTCACATCGATGAGCTTACGACCCGGATAGGGTATAAGTATGTCCAACACATTCGACCAGGACTGTCCGTACATGTTGCCCAATATGTGTGAAGGTATCGGCGCAATCCGGTTAATCCGATCAGGTCCATAGTAGTCCCTTAGCTTGCGACGCACATAGGAATGCAGACCTTCGTAGAGCGGACGTATCTGCTCCCAAACGTTATCCATATCCTGCCGAAAGTTGCCAGATTCGTAGGCCAAATACCAGTACTCCCCGCCATTGGTCACATCTGCAAAATAATTTATATTACCATATAGAAAAACTAAAAATATAAAGTTGACTTACTGTTTACAGAGGCCACATCCTGCATCACATCAATCAACTGTTCATAGTTATCCCGCATGCCTCGCCCCGCCTTGCGATGATACTCTACCCAGGTATGCTGCAGTTCATCCCAGTCTCTGCTCTTGGCCATAATGTCCTTGAGGTGAGGTATATAGTGCAGGTCACATTGAAAAGGCTGCTGGTAGGCGCAGATGCTGGCATCGTTGTACAGGAAAAGCATTTCGTTCAACAGGCGATTGTACTGTTCGACGAAGTTATTCAAATTAGAGTTCTTGAGTTGATACTGAATAAACTTACCCTGTCCAAGACATCGATGGGCAGCGCATTGGGCCCAGCTTCAGATTGTAGCATTAACTGTCTATAGAGACGACGATCGAATATGAGATCCTTGTTAATACGCTTCGACTGCTGAGCTGTTATGCGCTGATACTCCACATAGCGCTGTTGGGCATTCAGCTATAAGGGGATTATAACATAATTAATATATAAATGTTGGGCTAACTACGGATAAAATATGTTGAGAAGATAATCTATTGGGGTCTGCATATGTCAACTCTTCTTTATCTATCCAATTTGTATATATATAGTGTCAACACGTGTAAATGGCTTCTTTTCTTTCTTTCTTTTGGGTTTAACTTGATTTAAAATGTTGAAATATTTCTTAGTTCTAATTGTGCAAAACGTATTTGTTGAAATAAAACTTGTATATGACTTGCTTGAGCTGAATTCTGAATTGAATATTACTTTTTAAAATAATGAGCTTAAGCAATTAAATAGCTAAAGCGCATCCACTTTTTGTATACTGAAAAAAATATAAATTTTTGTTTTACTCAAAAATGAAAGTTATAAATTAGTTTTCCATCAGTGGTTTTTATTACTGTGTATTCAGTTTAGTGCAATGGATACGTTCATGCAAAATATAGTCTTTTTCTAAATAAAATCCATATTTCTTTGTTTCCAATATTTGATGTTGGATAAAGTTTGCCCAACAGCGTGGCTCAAAACTCTCAGAGTGCAACACTTTGACATTGGCATGTCTGCCTGAGAACTCCACCAGGCAAGCGACCTTGGCAGCAAGAGTATGTTTGTGTGTGTTGCAAACGCTGTGTCTATTTGTCATGCCAAGAAAATTGCCAAGAAAAAACTTGCATACGCGTCAATCTGAGGCTGATGAGAATACTCCAAACACACATAGATACACTTAGACACCCACACAGATATCGCGTGCCGCTCCAGCACAATTGCAATCCAATTACAATTACAAATTCAAGGGTATTCACTAAATGTGTGTGTATATAGTATAGTCTAGTATAACTAACTACTTACCGCTTCCGTCTGTGTAAAATCGTTCACGTTCGTCTCGAAGTTCCACTGAGCCGCCACATTTGCGGTGCACTCGAGCGAACCCTTCTGATCCGTTTCGACCAGCAGATTGCGCAGCTTCTCTAGCTCCTGCTGATAGCGACGATCCTGTTGAAAACGCTGCCGGTCCACATACGCCTGATTTAGATTGAATCTATCCTGATTGGATAGATAGGGATTCTCGAAACGATTCCGATTATTGTTCAATCCCACAAATTCCACATTCGGATTGTTATTGTAGTTATACTGCGCATTGGGATTTTCATCCGCATAGGGTCGATTGTTGGGCTGATCGTTAAAGTTGCCATAGTTGCGATCGGTGCTGGTCGAAGTGGGTCCATAGTTGTGATTCGCATACCGATTATCTGGACCACGATCGCGATTCACATCCCCGCTGAAGGGTGAATCATCGGTACGCTCAGTGAAATTCAATCGCGGCGTTGGATAGGCGTAACCCAATCGCATGCGTTCGTCATAGGTCTGACCGTACTGCAAATGAGAGATCATTAGATGCTGCCTCACAATTCAGTTGCCACTTTAGATAACACACACCCTAAAGTCATCAAAGCCATCATCGCTACTGCCACTTCCACTTCTACCCCCATCACCCGAATAGGGTGGTCCATAACGCTGGCTACGATCGCGATCGGCCTTCAGCTGGGAGGGGGTTGTTGCCACATTGGGCGTGTAGCCATTGTAGAATATCTCCGGCTGTGGTGTGGGCAAATTGAGTTGGGGATTAGCATAGACCAGACCCCATATGGTAGTGTATATGATAATAAGACAATGCCACATATTCGTTTATATCATGCAATGAGATCTATATATTTAACTCTCAAGGTCACACGTAATTAACAAATTTAATTATGGTTTTATGGCATTAACTTTAATGTTGAGCACACGATCTAATAACGCAAGACTAACATAAGAAAACTGTGAGGGTTTTTAACTGATCACGCGAAGAATGTTATGGAAAGCACAGTATTTGAAGATCTTCAATATGTTTACTGATTTAGGCGACAACTGCACTTCATAAAAACCAATTATAATCCACAAAATTGGTTTAGATATTTGGTTTAGATCACATGCAGGGAAAAACGATACTTGAAAGCATATATATTTTTAAAGGCCCTTCAATTCAAATTCAAGTCGTTTTTTAAAGTAGAATTTTTTAATTCTCTCTGAAATTTGTAATATTCAGAGATTATGATATAGGGTATGCACTTCCGATCGTTTCTTATTGATTTAAGTAACACATTTTTTAGTTATTCCCACACTTTCGGATCACTTTCCGTTTCGAAATTTTGAAGAGCTCGTACACCCACGTAACGTCACGTAACACGTCTAAAACTCTACTGAGTTGAGTGTAAGAATTTTTTTTCGAAATTACTTTGTGACTTTTTTTTGTTTTTGTTTGTGACTCGAAAATGAATTCAAATTTCAACGACGAGTCGCAGTTGCAGTCAGCGTCGCTGTCGCAGTCGCAGTCGCAGTCGATGAAACGCCCGATGTTTCTATATGTTGTGTGAGATAATCGCAATTAGCACTGAGACTAACTGAGCGTTGACGTCGCTGTTAACGACAACAACAACAATAATAAAAATCAGCTATAAGCTTGGGAACAACAATGGGGCAAGTGTGTCCATGTGTGTGTGTGTTTTGCATGCAGGCAATTATAAGGGAGGGTGAGGGCTCACTTACGACGAACATGCATACATACATATGTCTACGAGCACTAATCAGTCAAGAAAAAGCTTTAACCGCATAATTACAATGACTGTGAGAAAGTCGCCGACAAAACCCCGAGTGAATACTTAGGTTATAAAATGAATGAGTCGCCGGCTCTGAGTGTGATTTGCTTGTGTCGTATAACACACAATATTAAATATATACTGCCCATAAAACTAAATATTATGTTAAGAGATGCTTGGAAATAGAGAATAAACATTTTAATTCCAGCAGGATGGCTTAATTGCATTACTTTTGCAAGTATCGATACCTGCAATGTAAATGAAATGATTTAATGTTAGCCTACTGTTTACAGATTCATGCTTAGCATTCTTCTTCTGTTGCAAACAATTTCACTTGTTTCGCCATCCGTAACAGTCGGGCGCTTAACATAACATTAAAATAATGTAAACGTAAACGTAAAATAACGTAAAACAAAAACATTAAATCAAATGTTTTAAAATTACTAATAACTTTGCGGTCACAGCGGTTGCTGTCGCTGCCGCTGTCGTCGTCGGCGTCGGCGTTTAATTGCGATGCAAAACATTCGCGTAGCAGCCGCCTGTGGAATGTTTGTTGTTGTCACTATTGACCTAGCCGCATGTGAAAATAAGGTTTTGACTCATGCACAGCGAGAGAGCAAAAGTGTTTGGGGGTGTAATTAATGAATGCATTGCACAGATCGCCAGAAAAGATATGCGACAAAGAGAGTACTATCTGTAAGATGCCAACTAGAGGAGGGGCGCATGAGTAACTGACTTGCCAGACTGATTGATGCTTTAATTGCGACCCACTGGCATACAAAACACAGGTAAGCTGTTGATATCTCTATGAATCATGGTGTAATTAGTTCGGGATTGGGTTCTGCGACTCAAGTAGCCGTCTCGGAAATGAGCTCATAAATAAGTGCGGTTTGCACCTGGAGCAGTGCCACAACTTTATATATTTTGGATTGCTGAAAGTCAAGGTTAAATACTATCTTGTTTAAGTTTAAGTACTCTTTTCTACACATACATATATATTATATAAGTTCTAGTATCGGACAGACAACTCACTGCGAGCGTGGGAAACCAATCAATGTTATCTGACTGTAACTAACTGAACTATGCATATGAATAAATAATCTTAAGGTGCATTTTTATTTCAACTATATGTTTACTTTATTCTAATTAAGTGTTAGCTTTTCCATAATTATAGTCTCGCACTAATGGTTTTTTTTTTATTTTTTAGTTTTATTTTAGAATCTTTCCGGTAATTCACTCAGTCAGTTCTAGCACAAAATGTACGCTGCGCTTTATGCACAAATTAATTGTTTTTTAGTTAATTGTAAATTTATTTTTAAGTTACTTTCAAGTTAGTTAAGCTGAAGTTGAATGTTCACATGTGAAGCAGGCAGCTTAAAACCGACTAGAGGAAATAACAACTGATACGGAAAAAGAACTAATTTATTTAAAATGGTAATAAAAAATGCGAGTTTTAGGAATATTTGGGATAAGTCTGACATTTCTGAGCTAGCTTAGTAGAAATATATATATATATATGTATTTTATTCTGCTTTTTACGGCCTTTATAAGTTACATTTTTAGAAACACAGTTTAATACTTTATAATAACAAATGCTATTACATTGTATCTACAGGTTTTTATAGTATCATTCCAAATCCAAAATCGTCAATGTTTTTATTGCATACTTTTGTGTGTTAAGCAAATTATAGATTTTATATAGTATACACTTAGGCATAAGGCAAATCTAAAGCCAACCCACTTCCAAACCATTCACTCTATTTTGCAGCGTCAACCAATCCTGTAGAGGTTTAAAATAGATCAAAAGTCCATCTAGACTAAGTTCCTCCCTGCCCAGCAGTTGCCTCAACAGCTCTTTATAGTGTACCGATGAACCCAAAGCCATGATGCGACGCAGACTATCTCCAATCTGAGGCTGATCAGAAAGATCACACAGATCCAAGGGCTTGTCCAAAGAGTCCGCCACAAACTGACCCGAGCTGTTGCAGAAGTGCAAATAGAGCTGAAACTGCAGCACGATGCTTAGGAATTCACTGTGAAAATAAAAAGAAATTTTATCTGTATCAATAAACAAATAGTAAATTGAATATTCACTCACCTGGTATACTGATCATCCACCTCCATCAGAAGCTTTGCAGGCACATCAAAGTGCTCGTTGCTGCGTCTGCGTGGTGCAGTGGCTCCTGTGAACAGCTCCGTTAGCCGCCAGTAGGCTTCATTGTCGTCCGCTTGGATGTGTCCGCTAAGCACCTCCACACGATAGCGATCCAGGACATAGAAGACAGGCAACAAAAAGATCACACGCAATCCCTGCAGATACAATCGATTGAGGCGGGCTGGCAAACGACTCCATGCCGTGCCCTGGACAAGTCCCAGCTTGCGAAGGTAGCGGGGAGAGGCGGCGGCAAGTGCGAAACATTTGCCCAAAGCTTCCACAAAGTTGGGAAAGGGCTCCTCCCGCAGCAGCATCGGCTGCGCCGCGGCAGCTCGAAAATAATGCAGCTCAAACTGTGCCTCAAACATGCTGAATAAACGCTCCTCATCATTTAGCGGGCAGTAGCTAAAATTTGATGTGGAGAGCGTGTGGAATCGCCAGGCCTTGTGCCAGCACTGATCCTCGTTGTGAGTAGCCACAGGCTGAGCATAGGTCCAAATAGAACTAAGGAAGCAAAACTTTAACACCAGGAAATACTAAGACTTTTCTTCGAGTTACCGAAGATTGAATATCTCTGTAGACATTGAGCTGATCTATTACACAATCTCCCTTCTGATTCATATATCACAGATTGCCATACTCCTATTAGAGCTACACAATATATATGGTTTGGAATAGGGAAGGACCCAGTTCGCTTTATACGCTTTTGTCTCAATAATCAATATTTTTTCTCAATTATACGATTCACAGATAAATCATTTTCTTATGCACGAAAACTGAGAATTATATTTTCTGGAAATTCACTGTCGAAAGAGAGGATCACTGTTAGGCACTTACCTCTCCAATTGTGTTAGACCCAACCCTCGATAGTACTCGGCCACATTCCAGAATACTCGTTGCGTTGTGTTCAAGCTACGTCGACGCAGTGCCTCGGTAATATTCGGCAAACCATTCTCTGGTGAAGGTATATCCACAAACCAGGCGGCATTCGCACGCCTGAAGGCATTGCCCAGAAAGATCTCAGACAGTTGCTGTGGATAAGGACGACCATGCGGCACTTGCCGCTCTCCATGCATCTTTCGCAGCGAACCCCTCACATGGGCATGGAATTGCAGAAAGAGCGGCTGCAAGGAGGACATCAATTCATTTAGCAGACTCATCGCCTGCTTTGCACTCAGCTCCAGGTGGCGGAACCAATAATCCGCCGGTTGCTGGAATCCATTTAGCTTTGCGGTCTTCTTATAAAGCTGCATAAAGTTGACAAACTGCTGACGTGTGGGCAGACCCGTGCAACGCCGCCACTCCAGCCAATAGTATTCAATCTCCTCCAGATTTCGACTCTGCTGCACCACGCTCTGCACATCGGGAATGAGTTTAAGGGTGCAGTTGTATGGTTGCTTGTAGGCACAGAGTTTAACATTGTGATAATTCTCACTCATGTTAGCTGCCAGCTGGTAGACTTGAGCCACCTCATCAGCCGCAAGTGCCTCATAACCCGGCTGGGGCATTCTTTGCAGTTGACGTCGCTGCAATGCATCGCCCCAACCCAATCTCTTAAATTTTGCCACGCGGCTGCTAATGCTCTTCAGATAGCTCATTCGCTTCTCATTTGCTAGCTCAGCTTGGAGCAGTGCCATCAGATCATTGGGTCCATCAAGCTCATTTCGGAATAGTGCTAACTGCTCCTGATCGTACAAAGTGGACAATTGCTGATTCACATCGCTTAAGAACGCAGCCAAGCTCGAATCAGTCGTTGGATTAGCTTGGGATAAGGTCACGCAACTCTATATATATATATATATTTATACATATTTATTTAGTGAGAGAAGTAAAAATAAGTGAATTCTAAGAGTTGCGCATATATATAATTGATAAGCGTGACAGATAATGGCCACTAAACAAATTTGATTGCGGATGAAAGAAAGTGAAAAACAATTGTATTGAATTTTCAACTGTTGAATCATCAAACTACTTTTGCTTAATCTCTATCTGGACTTGCACACATCTAATCTGCCATAGCAACAACATTTACTTACAAAGATTAATACGCCTTTGATCATCATTGTCCCACTTTCTTTAATTTGTCTTTACTTTTCAATATTCACAGCACGCATTCCAACTGAGCTGTAAACAAAATTTGTTCTGCGCTGGCGCAGCTCTTGACGGCAACTGGCTTAAGGCCAAAAGCCCATGGTCAAACATCGGACCATCGACCACAATTTGTAATTATAATGCGCTCCACTTAGCACAAGTACACAAAAAAGAAGCAACGGGTTTTGATTTTTAAATGACTTTTAATACTGCACACTTTTTGCGACATATGGAAAACTCTTGAAGATTTTGACAAACTCTTTTTGCTTGAGCAAATAACGTTAGAAACTCCTTTCGACAGGCATTCCCACTTAATAAGACACGCATTCTGTAAGATAATTATGATATAATTGTGACTGGTTTGAGATATCCATCGATTTTTTATACTTACTATCAGACGCTGTCCAGCCAATGTGCACATTGTTCTTAATGTTCTCCGCCTCGAGCCAGACGCGTAGGGGCTCAAAGTATTCGGCTATAGCCTTGCCGGTCATAACGCGCTCACCATTGAAGGCTTGCAGTGCATCGGGCCATGGTTTGGAGGCGCCCAGCGAAAGCATGTTGCTGTGGCGAAAAAGTCTGTTAACAGATTTCAATTGGGGGGTAGAGTTGCTTATAATACTTACTGGAAAGCAGCACCAGCTTCGGCGCTACCATAGATATCGCAATTGTCCAAAGGCAGCTCCGGATTCTTGGGATCATACTGACCAGCCTTCATGCATGCAGACTTGTAGAATTGGAATTGTATGATAAACGAGACCAGATATCTATACAAGAATAAAAGCATGTTAATAACAACATTTCTAAATAGACAAACTTGCAAAAACATATACATTTCGAATAAACTTGAGTGATTTAGTGAATAGAAACTAGTTCTCATAATTTACTCATTCAAATTAAGTAAAGTTTTTCTTTCAATAATCTGAGCCTATTTGAATATCTCTGTTTTATTTCATTTGAGAAATGAGAGAGAGAAGAGCGAGAGAAAGCCTAAAATTAATTCAATTCCGAAGAGATTTACGTCTACGTCTATTTTAATTCTAATTTAGTTACTTTTTATTCAATAGGAATTTTTAATTAATCAATTCAAGAATTCGCTCAAAGAAAAATATAATATGGAATTTGATTAAAAATCATGTAAAATAATCACTTACCTCGCATACTCCACATCCGCTGAAACGTGATACTTGGCAGGGGCATCAAAGTCCTTTTCGGTGCGCACTACTGGAGGCTCAATGCCAGAGTAATCCTCACGCAGCTTCCAGAAGGCACAGTTCCAGTTAGCCTTGTCTACCTCACCGCGGAACAGAGACCAACGGTACTTGTCCATCGTAAAGGCAAACGGCAGGAAGACAATCTTGTCCAGTGCCGTCAAGAAGAGCTGATTAATGCGTGCCTCCTCGTCAAGCACAAAGTTCTTGAGCAGACCGATCTTCTCCAGATGCTTGGGCGTTGACACCGACAGCGAGAGAACATCTCCGACAGCCTCATGGAAACCGGGATTGGCACCAGTGCGATAGACAAACGGCAAGTGCTGATACTGCAGGAAATATTGGATATGGCCCAGCTCATGATGCACTGTGAAAAGCTGGCTCTGGGTCACCGTGGTGCACTGCTTGATGCGCACATCGTCCTGCAGATAAAAGTCCCATGCACTGGCATGACAAATCAAATCACGGCCATCGGTGGGCTTCTCAATTATGGATTTCTCCCAGAAGGTACTGTAAGAGTTGGAAATAAAATGAGAAAAGAGTTGACAGTAAAATTATTCGACGTACGGTGGCAACTTGGTCAGATTCATGGAGGTAAAGAAGTCATCGCCCATCTGGAACATCTTGAGCGGTGTGTAACCCTGCTTGACCATCTCGTCGGAGACATCCACCAGCGGTTTGTCTGGGAACGGTGACACAATATCCGCAATATCGGACCACTGTTGTGCCCACATATTGCCCAACAGATGCATGGGCAGCGGACCCTTCTCGGGCACGACCTTATCGCCATAGTGTTGCCTCAGACGATAGCGCACATAGCCATGGACTTGCTCATAGAGCGGACGAATTTCGGTAAAGATATCCTCCAGCTGCTTCTCGAATGTTTCATCCTCGTACTCATCCAACCAGACCTCGGCGCCGGACGTGAAATCTATTACGGATAAGACGAGATAAGAGATTAGTTTGATCGAATTTTAAAAATTATGGCTTGGGATAAGATAAGAAATGGTTTTTGTTATATTATTATTGCTAAGAGTCAAAAAACCACGAAATTAAAAAAACTTAATCTGAGGCATAGCCAAAGTTCGGAGGTAAAATTGCACTAAAGATTAAGGATAGTCAATAATAGAATAGCCAGTGATTAGTGAAAAATATATAAATATAGAGGGAGACAGATATCGAGAGAATTAATACAGCTCTGTTTAAAAGATACTTTTGATCACGATTCCTCTTTGATTCAAGATAGATTAAGAATCTATATAAAATAGAGCCACAGTGGATATAAGAAAAAGCACATAGATAATATATGCATGAAATACTAACTAATATATATATATATATATAAAGTGCCCACTTACTATTCAGTTTAGCTGCCTTAGTATTGAGCTCCACGTAGCGTTCGAATTGGGGTCTCACAGCTGTGCCGGCCTTGTCGTAGAACTGAGTCCAATAGTATTTGAGCTCCTCGGGATCCCGACTCTTTGTGATGACCTCCTCGATTTCGGGCTCGAGTGCCAGATCGCACTTTGTGTTGTCTTTGTAGTCGCATACCTTGACCTTGGCAAAGTTCGATTCCATGGCGGACATTGTCTCCAGGAACTCGGCATAGTCGGCCTCGGTCAGGGCGGCATAGCCGAGCTTGGACAGAGACTTAAACTGACGCTTTAGGTCGGCGCTTTCATAGCTGCGCCAATTGAATTTCTGGATTTCGACTGAGACCTCCTTCAGGAACTTGGCCAATTCGGCGGATACCTCATTCTTCTTCTTCTCGGTCTCGTCGTTGATATTGGAGCCATAGGCCCAGGAGGCCTCCGTATCGATATTGGTGCGTCTGGCCTGCTCCTTGTTCAGATTCTCCAGATACTCTTTCGCCTGTATCTCCTCCTTGACCAAGGCTTGTGTTAACTGCAAATTTAAAGTGTTTTATTTACGACTATTCCATTCATTGCTGTAGTATTGATAAACGTACCGCTAGCGTAGCCAATAGGGCTACCAATAGTAGCTTCATATTTCCAAAATTCTCAGCTAAAAGTAGAAAACAAACATATTATTCGAATTTAGATCAGGCCATTAATTTACTGAATTAAATTGAGGGAAGCCACACGGCTGACGCTGATCGTGTGTCTATAGTCTGTCTACAGCGAGAGGTCTCGGCTTAATTGATTAAGATGACCCTGACTCTGGTCAGTCCATATACAAATGTATATATATATTTATATATATATATATATATATCAAAAACATTGTTTTTATTTTGTTGTACAATCCATTAACTATAATCTAAAGTCGAATCGAGCAGTAATTGAATTGCACAATTATTGTTATTTTTTTTTTTTTGCCTGAGTATTACTTGACAAATGGTTGATAAGCAGGTAGCCAGTTCCAATAGTATTTCAGGCGATAAGATTTATTTAGTGATACATAGTAAGCAGATGTATGTGCTTATAATTTTTAATTGTATTAACTTTTTAGGCACACATAAACAAGTCTTAAAGATTTTTAAACAGATACTGGTATTTAGAAAATAAATATAATATTGCTCAGTTTTTGTTTTTTTTATAACCAGATATTCTTATTTGAGAATTTTTAAAGTCATAAAATTTATTTGCTGACTCTAAGCAGGTTTATTTAACTTTTAAAGTACACAATTGCGACATTTTTGCCTGAGCTAACTTGTTACCTTTAGTTAACTATTTAAACCATAAGGCACATTTATTTAAATTTTAAGGTACACGAGTGTTCGTAAGTCAAAAACCTACAAGCAATAATTCTCATTAAAATTACAAAACAAAAATGTTAGTCAAGTTACATTAACCACGAGGCAATTGAAATCTACAAGTTTTCTTTCTATATTTTTATATAACCCTTAACAAGTCAAACCGATCAGTCAACAATGAATTCTAAACAGTCTAGAAATTTACAAATGCTTACACATTTTTGAAGTGATAGATAAAGATGGTCTAAGGTAGTGGTAGGTGGACAATAAATATTGGCTAAACACTTGGATTGTACGCAACATAAAGATCGATATCTATTCAATATGAGCAACAAATAAGTGCTGATAAACTGAACTAACTTTATATATATGTATATATATATACATTTACCACACATTGGATGATTTGAAATCTAGTGAAAATGTTGATTAGATTTGTAGTCGGATTATGTTGCAATGTGAAACACAAATTGCCAACAGTCACAACTGATTGCGTCCAGTATTGTCAAACGATTATATATGTATGAATTCAGAGAAATATATTTATATAAATACATAACCGGCCGATTATATATGTATAAATGTAGAGAGAGATGGGATAATCGGTTGACAAGACTTATATATACATAAATATATATTTTTGAATTTAATTAATTAATTAGCAGCAAAGCGCAGTCAATTAAGAAATGCAGGTCAAATTAACAATGTACAATTACTAATTCAAATTAATTCTAAAATAACTTCAGGTTTAACAATTAAAACAATAACTTACCTATAACTTATGTGCCAATTACAGAGTTGATCGAACCGAAACGAACTTGAAAGCTTCGCACCCAAATTGAAACTGAAAATGTTTGAGCGACAGCCCCCCAATTTTATAGCAGAGATACTTAGCGACAGCGAGACGTGAGCAGCGCTGCTAATCGCTGCTCCGCTGTGACGCAGTCGCAGGCGCAGATGCAAAGAGAGTCGCACAACAACTGTCAGATAGAGTAATAAACCTGATCAATATTTACTGCCGATGCGCACAGGCTGGAAATGCCAACCTGAGACGGAGCTAAATTGTCTTCAGTCCGCTCATTAATATGCTTGACACACTTCTTTCCTGAGAGGTGATAACTTCAATGCAAATATTCGTTCCTCTTTGGTCAAGTCAATTCTAAACAACCAGGAGTAGTAGCAAAAATGCTTATTTAAGAATTTTACTTGCTTATTTGTATGTAATATTTAATATTCGCATTATAGCTACATTTTAGACATACATACGTTAATTTTATTCAATTGTTAACGTAAGCCCTTCACAAATTTCAAAAAGCGCGCTTCTCACTCTCAATACACAGCAGCGTTGCTGCTGCTCTATATATATATATCGATATTTATTAATCGAAACAATCGCTGGCTTGAGCATACTATCACGTACGACATTTAAACACGCTACAGCTGCATGACGAACTGCAAATGAATATAAGCACGAGTATCAAGCGCATTTCATTAGTATGTGTTAAATACTAAAATGTTGTAACATCTAGAGTATGCCTTGACTTAAAGCAAATTTAACTCACACATCGTATACTGATAAAACACAACATTCCCGTACGGGCTACCTGTGAACTAGTTTGTGAACATTGTCGAATCGCATGATTTGCATTGTCTGAACGTGTCAACTTCACTTTGTTGTTAACAAAGAAGGGAAAAGCAACGTCAAACGTGAACAGTGCAAAGTTAAAACAATATATAAACTGATAAAGGTAATCAAAATTAAAGCTTTTACAACAATCCACAATCGGTGTGCAATCAAAACCAACAAAAAAGCTGCGAAAATACAAAAATAGATTTCGCAAGCTGCGTAAGAAAATGAAGTATCTTCTCTACGCCTAGAAAATACCAGAGCAGCAGTCGCAGTCGCAGCGCAGCAGCAGCAACAACAACAGCAGCAGCAACCAGTCGCAATTTAATTGATTATTCAATACGCAGCAATACACACATACATAAGTGCTATATATACGTAGGTGTGTGTGTAAAGGCGCGTTGTCATCATTTCGGCAACAAAAACATCATAAAAAGTAGATGAAACTTTTTTGTGCAAACAAAATTCGTCAGCATTTAAAAAAAAACCTGAAAACATATTTCCAGAGAATCAGCTGCTTGATTTCAAAGCTTTTTGTAATTATTTTTTTCTTTTGTGTGTATTTTTTTCCAGTATCTCAAACTTTGACCATGGAGTCAAAACTTAGTTCAGGCGGCTCAAACGCATCCAGCGAATTCGCCGTCGACACGGGCGGCGGCGGATGCAGCAAAAACAATCGCTACCGCAATCTAGAAGCGTCGCTTTGCGGCAGCGTCACCAACAACAAATGCATGATGCAGTCAAATAACGGCAACACCTCGCTCAGCCCCGAGGTGAAGGACTTGTATCGGTAACTTATTATTCATCATTAAATATATTTAAATTTAAATGTCGTCTCTCGCCTCTTTAGCACTTTGTACACCGTTTCCAAGCAGCTCGACGATGCCAAGCGCAACGTCCAAAATATTGGGCAACTGTTTCAACATGATATCGAAGAGAAACGCGCAAATCTTGTACAGCTGTGCAAGCAGATTATATTCAAGGTAACTAACCATATTGTCATTGACATAAGCAATTATAGGCGGGCCTTTAAAATATCGTTTATAAATGCGTATTAAATATTTCAGTATATTTTTGTATTTACCTCTGAGAGTAATTTATGTAGGAATCGTCGGAGAACCCCGGTGTAAGCCGGTTTAAGAGAAACCAAAATATAAACATATCATGAGCAATAACTAATTTTTAATATTCAAAATATCATTCAAGATTATTATTAAACCATTTCGAATACCTCTGCCTCAAAATGAAGCGATTATTATTTTTATAATATGTGATAACCAATAACAGTAGTCATTCTAGATAAGCACGCGCCTTTGATGCTCCTGGAAAACTATAAAGAAAACAATTTTATTTAAATACAACAAATTTAATAAAAAAATCATTCGAATTTGCTTGCAGGACTATCAATCCGTGGGCAAGAAAGTGCGCGAGGTGATGTGGCGTCGTGGATATTACGAGTTCATTGCCTATGTAAAGAAGAATATGCACAAGCAGACGAGCAATGATGTGGAGTATCTGCAGAAGCTGGAGCGTTTCCTCTGCGCTGGCATCTTCAACTACAAACGTCTGTCGTCCAAAATGGAGGAGATCTACGATCTGGACTTGAAATACCTCATTGATTTCTCCATTATAAGCGAGGGTTATATCAGTGACTGTATAAGCGACACAAGCGTCAACAAGGAGATGGAACCCTCCCAGGCTGCTGTGGATAAGAGTCTGGAGGCCGTGTCCTTTGCTCTGGACACAATACACTCGTCTCTGTTGAGTTTGGGCGATTTGCATCGATATTTTCTGGACTTTCATATTGACAGCCGGCTGAGTTTAAGCATCAGCAAGGAGCAGGTGGCCAAGTATTATTTGGAGGCTTTCAAGCTGAATCCCTCGATTGGCATGGCCCAAAATCAGCTCGGCACCCTCTACTATGGCCAGAACTATGATCTGGATTCCACTTACCATTATCTGTATTCGCTCGTGTGCATCATCCCGTTCGAGCTGAGCGAAAACAATTTAAATAAATTGTTTGCCAAGCACACAGAGTATCTGGAGCAAATGGACCTCGCTAAACTCGAATTTCATATTGAGGATTTCTATGCACGTTTCTATCTAGTCGTGGACATATTCTTCTTTGACAAGGAGGTGCCGGACTTCAATTCGCTGTGCCATTGCGTGCTCATCGATTTGCGCAAGATTCTGTGCGCCCAGCAATTGCGGATGCCAGAGCCAAGCATCTTTAAGATCATCTCCATACTGTTCTTCTGCCTGTCCAAGCTCAAGATGATCAATTCCCCCAAGGTGTACTCGCTGCACGCCTTTCTCGTCGCCGCCTGCTCGGATCTGATGGACGCTTGCATTGTCAACATTGAGCAAACGATTTTGGCACGCGCTGCGGACAACGAAGAGTTCCAGCTGGAGTACGAACAGCGTTTCCAGGAGTTTGACACCTCGGTGCGCAAATCGCGCAATGAGTACAAGAATTGGCTGGCCGCTGTTGGCAAATGCGAGCGCAAGGATAAAAAGTTAATGGCCCGTCCGCAATCGCTCAAGGATTGCAGCTCTGATTCGCGCGATTCACAGCACTCGGTGGAAGATGGCTGTGTCAAGACACAGGAGGCCGCCGACAATGATATGCTGGGCGTCGCCGAACCCATCTCCACACGCTCCAGCGACGAGGCCAAGGAGAGCGATCTGAAGACTCCGCTCTCTTGCAAGAGCAAGCGGCGTGGCATGCGTCTGCGTCGACGTCGTCGCAAGATCGCCCAATCGGACGACAGCAGCTGCTACGACAGCGAGAGCGAAATGGACACCGACTTCTACAGCGACGAGGAGGACTACACTGATCTGAGCTCCAACTTTGACACTGATTTCAGTGACATAGATGCCGCCGAGCCCGACGAGGCACCAAACGGTGAGTAAATAAATCAGGGCTGCACTTATAGCCAAGTCAATATAATACAACAGTTATTTACGACATGATAAGCTGATTAGAACTCAAAAGAAACAGTTAAATAGTCGGTGTAGTCCGGAACGGTTAACTATATTATACAGCTCGTAATGATCAATCGAAGACGAATTCTTATCATTAAGCTCACATAGTGAAATCAAAGACATTCATCACTATATAGACAACATAAAAATAATATATCACAGATCCCGCAGATATATCTTACTGTTTTTTAAATCCAAACGAATTCCTCTTCCAGCTGACTATCCCAAAAAGGAGCGCATCGTACGTCAGCCAGCCGGCGCTATTGTCTGCTCGGACAGCGAGGATGTGGTCATTGAGGAGGAGCGTCTCATTTATCCCGATGAGATTGAGCGTCGTCCCAATTCGCAGGAGGTCGACTCGGAGGAGCTATTGCGCAGCTTTGAGGTCTTGCAACTGAACTTCAAGAGTGCCGAGGATCCGAAGGCAGCTGTTGAAGTGCCAAATAGTTGCCCAATAGTTGATGACCAAGTGGTGCCACCTGTTAGCATTTCAGAGCCGCCCAAAAAGCTCATCTATCGCAATAAGTACACGAAGATAAATCCAAATATAATCATTGATTGCCTGCACAATGAGTCCAACATTCGGGCGATAAAGATGCTCTTCGACTGGCTACGCATCAATCCAGAGATTTTGATCGGCTGCTATCACTCCAATCCCGAATTTGTGCACAAGATCATGAAGCTGCTGAACTATTGCAACATTGATGTATTCACACGCAAAATATATTTTGAGCGCGATCTGCTGACCACCAGCAATGTGCGTGACGCTCTCGTCGAGCTCTTCGATGTGCGCGCCAATGTGCCGTTGACCGAGGATTTTGCCTTCAAGAATTTCGACATCTTCCAGAGCACACAGATCACGCTCGACTGGGAGACGACCATTAGGGAGCGTGTCACGCAACAGGAGGAGTCCATTTTGCGCATCCTCAAAATGGTAGACTTTGGTTTCTTCATCTGCAAGCAGACGAAGTTCAACTATCGTTTCTGTGTGAAGACGCGTCGCTTCATCGAGAGCCAGAAGAAAAAGCGCGAGGAGAAAAAGGGTGGCGGATCGCGTCGACGCGAAAGACGCACTGCACCGAAGATGACACGGAAGCGGAACGAGGGGCGAACACGTCGCTATTCGGATCGCAAGAACGGCATAGTGCGCAAGAGCTACACCAGCAACGAGGAGAAGGACACCGTCGAGGAGTGCCGCAAGTTGCCGCGCAAGGGTTACCTACGCAATCGCAATGCCGAGAAGGCAGCCGCTGTGATTGCCAGCGCCACAGGCACCTCAGTGGCCGGTTGCACATCAGCCTCCGCTTCGACCACGACGAACAGCGTCATTGAGAAACTCAATCTGCAGTCGAGCAGCGGTGCCGATGAGGAACGCTCCGAAGCCATGTCTAAGAAATGTGAGATTATGGGCAAACTCTGGCTGCAGAACGAGGTGGAGACTCTCGAGGAGGAGCTGCGCGACAGTCCCGCCCATTTCGTCATGTCGCCGTTTGTTGTCGTCGATTCCAAGGCTCTAACGGAATACAATGGCATCGTCAAGTCGCTGGTGAGAACCAAGAAATGCATCATTCTCATTCCCAATGCTGGTGAGTCTCTCAAATCCCATTCAATCACACCATTTCCATTAACTAATATTTGGACATTCTCTCAGTGCTCAATGAGCTCGATGAGCTGAAGAAACGCAGCGAGAATGTGCGTCATGTCATCCGTTGGCTGGAGCAGGAGTTCAAGCATGGCAATCGCCATCTGCGCGCCCAGCGCGACAACGAGAGCCAACCACTGTCGCTGATCAAGATTTCACGCAAAATGGGTAAGCTGTATAAATATTTATTTATTGGATTCCCTAGATTCCATTCACTGCTTGAAAATTCCATTTTTGACTTCCGACTGCAACTGTTGCTAATTAATATATACTATATTTTTTTCAGATCGTGATGCATCGGTGTTTTTGCAAATTGCACAATTCTGCAATCATTTGGTGGCCAATCACTCCGATCCGAATGTGAGTGAGCTGCAGAAGAATGTGGTCACCTATTTGTCGGGCGATAATATGCACGAGAAGAACCGTCAACAGCAGAATTTCAGCTACACCGGCATTCTCGACTCGATACCCGTACGCTATGCCCAAATTCAGAGCTTCTACGCCAAGTTCAAGGCAAACAAAAAATGAGTGACCCAGAGCGGACGCTAGGTGGCAAATGCAAGACGACTGCAGATGCAATATATATGCAAGGATATGCAAGCGTGTGTTCTCTGTACAACCACAAAAAAAAAACGACATGGAGTTCCAAGTTAACGAAGTTTCTCTCAGACGAGGCCAGCGGGCAACGGCAACCAAACCAAACTAAACAGCGATCGCTGCAGCGGCACGCTGTTGTTGTTGTTGTTTGCTTGCTAAGCTTGTTTGTTTTTTGTCGTCGTTGTGGTTTCAAAACCATATTTAAAGCAAAACCGAAAACTGAAAACAACAATCAAATCAGAAACAGCATCAGCAACAACAACTGCTGCAACACATTGTACAATGGGGGGCCGGCTCATGCGGCAGAATGGCGTGGAATTTGCTTGTTGTGTTAGACAAAACAAAACAAAACAAAAAAGAAAAACCAATCAAAAATCAAACCAAACAAAAAATCGTTCACTTTCAACTCAAATGGCAGCAACGAAGACGACTCTCCGCTAACGTATATGGACAAATGGCTTACAGAAACAACTCAACAAAAAACAAATTGATGGAAAAAATCAAACAAAAAAAACCACACCAAAAACCAAAAAAAAAAAAATGAAATTGTTCATGATTCAACATTCATTTACATAACATTTCACACCCTCACCAGAGTTTGGCCTAAAACTAAAAAGGTTTCACAATCCCTACGAACCGGAGCTCGTTTCAAGTTCGGCGCATCGTATGAATCCATCCTTTATTTAGGCGCAACTAATGTAGCTTCTTACTGGGAGAGCGCCTTTTGGAATTATCCCCGCCCTCATCTCTCACAACCAGCACCACTTGATCATTTCGTTTGCCTCACACACTAATCATAACCTCAATACTGGAAAGTATTTTCTTTGTGGAAAACGGCGTAATTGAATCATTGGTCCTCCAGCGCCTCTTCAAATTCATGTGAATTTGTTTTCTCTTTCTCTTTAAAATTTTCAGTCGGACTATTCAATTTTAGCCCATACTTATCTACACAATTTACAAACTATATAACACATACAATAACAATTAATATTAAAAACGATAGCTGCATAAATTCAAATGTCGGACAAGAGCGTGTATTATTCTATTATAGAAAAGCAATAGAAACTAATAGATCTATTACACACAGGTATATTCATTAAATTCTACAAATTTTAAAACTTTTCCAACAACTGTAACTATTTGATAAAATAAAGAAGCCGACAAAAAAAACAAATGTTCTCATTATTTTGGTTGAACACGATCCGGGCAATGGGTTAACAACTTAGAGCTGAAAAATTCGTTACAAATAAGATCTAAAATTTACATTTTGAATAGAGGTAGTAGTAGCTACCAGATGACCCAAGGATATTCAAATCGTCCTAGTTTTCGAGCAAAAAAAGATTTTCTTATTTCAACTCATTGCCTCTGAGTGCATTTTTTACAAATGTTTGGGTTACATAATCCTTGAAGCAAGTTCAATAGAGCTGTTCCTTGCGATTCTAACGCAACATGCCCTTCGAAAATCAGCAAGAATATTGCTTCAGAGCAGCAACCTTAGTGAACGTAAAAGGGAATTTGGCTTATTTTGTCAGCTAATAAAATAAAGTCTTATTTAAAATGTTTAATCAATTTTTATTTATTGTTTTTTCCTTGTGTTTTTTTTCGTGTTTTTTGTGCCTGTTGCCTTGTTATCCAATTAGATTGAGTTTTGTCACGTTCTGTTGTTGTGTTTATGTTTGAAATTGTACAAATAGCGTACACAATAAAGGGGTGTATACATATATATCATTTAATATATAGATTTATATAACTATAATGTATAATTGGTTTGAAATACTTTCAAGTGTTTGCTACATACATAGTATATCATATATATTTTGTCATTTCCTTTTAACTTCTGGTTATAATACAATCCACTGACGTGTTTTCGTATTGCCAACAAACGTTTAATTTTGTTTTGGAATTTTAATAGCAAAGTTTGTGTGTTTTTGTTTGGTTTTTGCATAAACTACAAGTTAAGCGTGTTTTTACCGATTATCAAGCAATTTCAACTTTATTTATAAATATCTTCCTTTTTTTTATTTCTTTTTATATAGATATAGTGTAATAAGTTGTTTTTGGCTTTAGTCTTAGATTCACTATGTTTATACGTATATATTTTTTTCATCAGCTATTTTTAGGCGTATTTTATATTGGTTTATATATACTGATGACAAACGAGAGGTCTCTTTTCAAATAAAAATCAAAATACATTAATTACTTAAATTGTTGTTTTGCAAACGACATAAAAAAAACCTGCACACAGTTTAAAAACAATAATAATTAATGATAATGGTAATAATATTACAAAAAAATAATAAATTAATTAAAAACTTGAGATTACAACAAGACTGTACAGTTTTTGTGCCTATCAGCTAAACAAAACTAAAATCTATAAATTTAAAAGAAAACAACAATTAATTTTGTGAATTTCTACGGCGCTGGCCAAAATGAATAATTTGCACATTTTCGATTTTAAGAACTATAAAACTAAGCGTCATTCAAAACATTCCCGATACGATTGCTATACACAGAAAGAAATTTACGCGTACTTTTTAAACTAATTACGAACAACATATTAACCATATTTTAGCTTCATTTTACAATATTATATAAAATTTTGCGTGTTTAGCTTATGAAATTCAACTATGCGCCCTCTTAAATAACGCCCGAAACAGATTTCTCATAGGGTGTGCCGAGCGTATCTCGTCGCCTCGGCAGCGTGCCACTGGCCGTTAACGGCGCCGATTCCGGACAGCCCAAACCCACCAGCAGCTCGACCAGTGCCGTCGTATCCTCCACATTGTACTGCGGTGCCGGTATGCCACCATTAGCTGCGGCCGACTGCGCCGGCGGTGGCGGCGCTGGAGTTGGTGTGCCGGCGGCCAAAGCAGCAGCGGCCTTCATCGACTTGGCCGTGGCCAAAGATTGTGCGGCACGTGCATAGGCCAAACAGGTTCGACCCTCATGATCCGTGTGCTTAATATTTGCACCGTTCTATGGGAGCAGAGAATTAATATCAAATCTAATGGCTCTGCCAATTCAATTCAATTCTTACCCAGACGAGCAGCTGGGCTATGGCCAGATTGCCTATGGCACAGGCCAGCAGCAGTGGAGTGCGCACATCCCGGGCACTCACATTGGCATTGGTCACCTCCGCCTGACAGTTGGCCAGTATGCACACAATCGACTTGATGTCCGCCCTGATTACTGCCTCAATTAATTGCTGGCCGGGTGAGGCGGCATTCACATGATTACCGCTGCCCAGTGGCGTCAGAAAATCCTTTCCCTCGTACTTGCTGCGTATCCAGCGTTCCTTCTCCTCATGATTTGCCAAAGCGCTGGGCTTGACGCGCTGGCGCGTATTCGACTCCCACACAGAGTTGGCCAAACTGTTGCCAATGGCCAGCATAACGCTCAGATGCGGCGCACTAAAATTAAGATGAATTAATTAATTAAATGTTGTATTAAGCGTTTGTGTCATTTTCACTTACGGCCAATCATCGAGGCCCAGGGAGCGCACCTTGGAGATGTGCGAGCCGAGATTGCGATGGATGCCGGAGCACTCAATGCACATAAGCACGCCCAGATTGAGACTGGCCCATTCGGGATCTGGAAGGGATAAGCGAAAATTCATAATTTATATATACTCGTATATGTATATAATTATCTGTATATATATCTGTACTTACTTGGAGCACCACAGTCGACACAGTGTCCATTGCCGGGTACACGTTGTCTGATAGCCACCATGGCGGCCAGTTCAGTGCTGGTTGCCGGTTTCGTTTTGCAGCTCTCGATGCTCTGGAGACTCTTGAAGATCTCTTGCTCTACGGCGGCGACCCATTCATCGCGCTCCTCCGAATTGGCGGCCTCAAAGTGCCACTGCTTGGAGTCCAGAGAGACAATGTAGAACTCATAGCCATCATTGTCGTCCGCCTCGTTCGCCTTGACGCTGCTGCTCTTCATGCGACGATGTCGCTTCTTCACATTTGGCGTTTGGGCCTCCAACTTATTGGGCGGCGCCTCGCCAGCAATAAAAGTCTGTGAGTTCGAATTGGACATGGCAATGCCTTCGTCACCGCTGGTCTGCTGTGAGCTATTCGATTTCAGTGGCTCAGCTGCGCCACCAGCAGCCACACTGCCCAGCAACGAGAGTTTCTCGCTCAGCTTGCGCTGATTGTCCTTGGCCAGGGTGAGGCAACCAATGCCCTCGCTCAAGGTGCCCTGTGCCCGCTGTCCGTTCGCCAGCAGTGAGCTGGTCAGCGCACTGTTCGTGATGATCGACTTGGAGCCGCGCGGCTTCTGGCCGGGCACCTTGACGGTGACATATTGCAGCGGTATCTCCTTGCCGTGCACATCGTCCATGTAGTCGTGCAGCGACGGATGATAGGTGAGTCTGCCATCGTCGCAGAGCGTCACATATTTCTTTTTCCATTCCTTGTTCAGGGATTTGCTGGAGCGCTTGTACAGATAGCCCTGCTTGATGGGTATCGAGCGACCGCTGCCCAATTCACTGCTCTTTGGCTCCTTGTCGCTCTTCTTCGAGGAGGAGGGTATAAAGAGATTCGAGCGCCGCCTGCTCTTGCGGCTTGTCGTCGGCGTTGATGTGGGCGTCGGCAGCTCCTTGCCAGGTGGCGGCGCCAAATCCCGTGGATCACGCAGCTGCACCTGAGCGCAGTCGCCCTGCAGCGACAATTGTTGCTGCTGTTGTTGTTGCTGCTGCTGCTGTTGTTGCTGCTGCTGCTGTTGCTGTTGTTGTTGCTGTGCTGCTGAGGCTGCTGCTCCTGGATTATATTTGGTTATGTTGTTGTTCTCAGTGGCATTTGCCTGCAGCGACCAAAGCTTCTGCTCCGCCTGGGCAAAATCAGCGCTCATGCGCAACGGCAACTGCTGCTGGGCCCGTTGCCCATTCGTCGGCGCCTGATACGTGGCCAGACCCAGACGGGAGCCCTGCGGGGTTGTGGGCCGCGGTGGCTGCATTGCTGCCGGCAACGGCAGTCGCTGCGACAATATCTTCTGGCAGGCTGTGGATATAGAGTGGCAGATTAGTTGTAGCTACTTGTGTGCAACAAGTCTCCCTCCAGTCGTTGAACTTACCATCCTGAAAGACGCGCTCCACATTCAGGCCGTAGGTGGCGCAGGTCTCGTAGTAGGAGCAACGCTTCAAATCGTTTGCCAATTTCCGGGCGCGAGTGTCATCTATAACACGCGGATTACGCTCGCTGATGGCATCTGTGGAGCAGACAATTGGGTACAAATGAGATTAGCAAATGACAAGCAGAAGTTGACAAATTTCAAAATAAAATCCTCATAAATTCCATCAATATTTGAATTTGTAAAAACAACATGCGACGAATCGATAGAAATTTAATTAATCTTACTTTTAGCAAAGTCAATAATCATTTCAATCTAAAAATGTGCTAATAAATTCCATCAGTAAATGTTTATATCAAAACATCATGCGACCAACTCATCGAATATAAATAAATCATACTTTTATAGACTTTAACTATATATTATTATATATATATAATAGATAAATAGATAAATAGATTTATATAATAATATATAAATGAAAATACTCTAAAAGCGATTGGCTTAAATTTAATAAAATTGTGTGAATCATCAACTGTAAAACTTTCCAAATGAATCGATAATGGACACAACTATGGAAATGTACTTGAGTATATAGTAATTTTAATAATGATCAGAATAATACTTATAATAAATTGGAGTATCTATTACAATCTATAATCTATAACAAATTATATTTAAGCACGAAAGGAAAAGGTATTCAAAATTGAGCTTACCCTGTGTGCCGACCAATATCATGGGTATATCCTGGCCATTGCGAAAGTGCGCCATTTTGGTATAGTAATTGTAGACGGTGTTGAAGCTGCCCTCGTTCTCCAGGCTAAACACAAAGATTACCGCATCCACCCAGCCAGCGAACTGAAAGAAAGAGCGCAACGAGAGCGAAAGAGAATTAGTTAAAAATATGAAGCATGAACGAAAACAAAAGCCTGTTCAAAAATATGAAAAAAAATAATAGAAAAAAATAAAACAAAAAACATACAAAAGTTTTGGCCGCGAGTCCTTGACTTTGTGTGTGCGTCCGAAGGACATGAGGAGTAAACAAAATTGCTTCGGCTGGCGGGCAGCACAAAAGGCGGAAGCGGGTTTAACAATGGGCAGTAGCCAAGAAGGCGAAAGGATCAGCAGGCGAAGTCTCAGGACACACACACACACACACATACACGCAACACACACACACACGCAACACACACACACACGCAACACATACTTGAGAAAGTCGCTAATGAAGCACTTGAATCCTTTGGAAGGACCCGTTGCCGTGTGCTAAACTTTTAATGATTTTCATGTGTCTCAAACACACACACACACACAGGGAGCGAGACTCAAACACACACACACACACGTAGGCAGGCACAGGATAATGAACTTTTACATTGGCTTGTAAACAGGCGCTTTGTGTTTACTGCGCAGGATTCGAGTGTCCTGCAGTGAATTGACGCTATCGATTACTTGTTTTGGTTTTTCTTTTTAAACTAAATATATAATTATGCATTCAAATCCCTTTTACACACACTCACAAGTGGTATTTGTAAAATTCTGTAAATTATTTATTTATAAGAAACAACAGTTTGAGCAGCTCTGAAGCGCACCGAATTGAAAGCCGCCCGCCAGCGACGCCAGTCGACAAACAACTGGCGCTTTCGCTCATCGCTCTCGTTGTCCGTTGGCCTCGTCCTGGCATCGTCCTCGGTGGGTGGTTGCCCTGACGGCGGGTGGCGGCTGCCTGGTGGCGACTCGGGTGGTTGCCGTTTTTTATGATTTGTTTTGAATATGTGTATGCAGCAAGAGGAAACAGGAAAGCGCACAAAAATATTCTGCTGCAAATGCAACGCCAAATGGCGGCGACACGGAAAGCACTCAAACACACACACACACACATTTAGCAAGAGACACATGCTTGACAACAAAACAATTGAATCGAATTGGGGGTTGGGTTTGGGCTGTTTGTCACGCTGCAGTCCACTGAGATAGAAGCAACAATGGGTTCAACTTTTATGTGGGTTAAGCAGCATTCAAAGTATCTTTGAAAGCCTCAAAACTTTAGCTGTGAAAACTTGAAATATAGTTTTCTTATCACGCAAACTAAGTCAGAAACTTTTGCTAACAATAAGTGACACTTTTAGGACAAATGTGTAAATAATTTAAATACATATTTCAACCTATTCATTTTGTAATGATTATTAATGCAGAAGAATTGTTATTTGTTTTCACACATCTAAATTATTATTATTATTAAGCAAAGACAAACTTAACTGCTATTATTGTAGTTTTTTTTTTTAGGTTTCAAAATCAAAAAGCAGAAAAATGAGAAGAGTTTGCTATTTATTTACAATGAGTATAAAATATTCTGTTCTTTTTTTAGGTTGCTAAATCAAAAATCGAATAAAATATATACCAAGAACAGTTTGCTACCTTTTACTACTTATTATATTATAAATTTTTGACTAAATCATTCCAGTGAATATAAAAATTAATTATTATAAGAATATATTTTGAATGTTCAACATTTTTTACTTGTACAGACAGATTCTCAACTCTTTAGAATTTTCATCATATTCAGTGTGTATCGATTCTATCTATTTTACAATCGCTTCTATCAATATGAACTTGTCTGTCTAAGTCCCCGTCCAGTCGCAAACAGAGTAATGTGTGGATTCGACAACAGTCGCTGAGTCGCATGCAATACTCTCGTCTCGTATATGGTAATGATATCCTGGCTCAGCCCGAAAAGAAAATAAAAACAAAAACAAAGCGCGACTGAGTGGCGACGCGCCGCCGCCATTGAGTGATTTCATACAATGCTTTTGGCCAGTAGTTCTTAATACCCTGTAAATTGGCAACAGGGAGCAGCACCTGCTAAACTGAACAAGAGAACGATAGTTGTAAGCTAAGGTTGAGATTGAGTGCTATATATATATATTATCATTGATATTTATAGAGGGTATTAACAAGTTGAGCAATTGAGAATTTGAAACACTTCTACTTGGATTCTTTTTTCGTCTTGTTGTCTGAGAGGGTGGCTCTGACTGGCTTAGGGGGTTGCTCATAAATAGAGGGTTACTCTGTGCAATTGAAATATGGTTTATTATGTTGCTAGCATAAAGATGTGAGTGACAGAAGTTAGTCAAGAAATGGACATTAAATTAGTTAAATCGCGGGAGAGAAGCGATTTGACAAACTGTGACAAAATGTGCAACCAACTGAGAGAGAAAGAGAGAGAGAGGGGAGATAAAAAAATAGATGAGAAGTGAGGCGAAATGAGACAGTCAATAATAGTAAAGAGCAGTATTAATAACGGTTTGACAGTCATAGCCCGCCAATGATTATGCAATGTGAATTAAATAACAAGTGACACTCAAACTGTGAAATGGCTTTCAAACTGTAAGCGGCTTGAAATTGTATTTGGGTCAATCACATGCTTGACTTGCAAATATTAACAACAAATAATTACAATGGAGATCAAAAATGTTTATTAAAATAAAAATTGCTGAACCCGAAGGATAGTCAACTGCTAAGCCCATGGATATAGGCCAGGGTATTATGCGATTTTGAGGGTCGCGTCGCGTGGCAGGCACATTTTTTTCGGTTTTTCAGTTTTTAAAGAGCAACCCCTACACCCCACCCCAACCCTAGCGCATAAATACAACCGCAAATAAAAAAAAAAAATGCAAAAAAGTGAAAGCAGCTTAAAAATTATAATCCACACTTTCACCCTTTAAGCCGGAGGGTTTTGGCAAATAGCAAAGGGGGTGGGGTGATACCCCTGTCACATAAAAGTCTATAGAAATTATTGCAAATATCGCGAACTGAAAAGAATCCGAATGCAACAAAAGCTTTGCTCAAGCTGCGAATCACTTAGTCAAATATATAGAAATAAAAATTGTTGAACGTTGCATGGAAGTTAAAGTAAATAACTCGTGATACAAGGGGATATTTACTTGAAAGATTGCAAAGTGCATATTGGGCACAGCCAAAGGGGGTTGCAGCACGTAAGGCGATTCCTTATTGTGACTCAACTTTAACCTTTTTGTTGGGCCAAAAGATATTGGCCAGTTGCCGCATCACGTAACGTCCAAACGGGCAAACAGACCTTTGGCTAGACGGCCCCACAAAACAAACAATAAAAAAAGTGTCACAAGAAAACAAAATGATATAATAGAAATTGGCCCGAGGCCAGCTACAGGCTACAGGCTTTCTGCCTGCCAAAGGTCGAAGTTCGATTGAGTGAGTCAGAGAGGCTCCCAGGAGAGGGACTGGGTAGAGAGGCAGGCCGTCAAACGTTCAACTTTGCGGCAAGTTTTTCGCCATTGAATGTGAAAGCTGACAGCACAGCAAAAATTTACCAAGCGCTGCAGATATTGCTATGGAAAAAACTTGATAATTGGCAAAAAGTGCGACAAATGTACAGCTCTGCAGTGCACTCGAACCAAATGTCTAGATTAGTGACGGGCACTCAAGATATAATGCGGCAAATATATAAGACTGACAATTACAGCTTGAAGAAATTTGTAGTTTCTAGAAATAAGAATTTTTATTTTCAATAAACTAAAGTCTCAAATGGAGATTAGACTTTAAATCTATTGTCTAGAGATCTTGTATCTGTTTTCATTCTATTTTAAGTATATAACTTTTTAAAACTAATATGGAATCCAGTCAATTTTAAATAATTTAAATGGATAGAGAAAACATAAGCCAATCAATTGAAAATTTAAATTTACATTTAATAAATTCGTTTTATTAGTGACATTTCATCAATTATATTATCAAATAGTTATTCACAAGTTAAAAGCAATTCTTGGTTCATTTATATTTTCTGATGCTTTTTTCGCAGTGTATTACAACCTGCTAAGCACTCACAAACGTGCCACGTAACAACCCCAGAAATTTGTATAGGGCAGCTTAAAACTGCTTACATGCTTTATTTTCGCTTCTCCACTCCGCCCCTCTTTGATTCCACGCTGACCTCAATTCAAATATTTACAAGATGATAAGGCAAAATTTATTTGTTGCACAAACTTTTATCCCCACTACCTTGACAGGGGCAAAACAACCCCTATCCACCCACACACAATAATACATCATTCTTTTGTTGGCAGTTTCATGGATATCTTAAAGCGAGTTGGTATCGGGATGGGGATGAGGATGGGGATGTCTTACCTGCATTTCCGGTGCGCCGCCCTCGTCGCGTATGAGCAACAAATAGCTTTGGCCATCGATGAATACCTCCTTCTTGAAGCGTCCGCCCTCGGGCGATTCCTCTTGCATGTAGGAGCCGGTCAGATAACGATGCACCAGCGCCGATTTACCGGAATTCAATGAACCAACAATGCCCAGCCGCAAATCGGGCACCGAACGTGATATTGTCCATTCCTGGCTGTTTACAAAAGAATCTGGAAAAAATGAAAAGAAAAAAATTCAAATAATCATTAGCAAGAATACATTTGACTGGAAACTAGTTCGACACGACGTAATTAGCGAGCGAACGGATTGGGAACTGAAACCCGTTTGCACAACTTGTGACATCTTTTTGACCTACATGCGAAGCGGCCAAAAGTTTTTTTTTTTTTTTTTGCTGTCAGCTCATTAGTAATTCTTCTTATGCAAATTTTCAATGTTCAAAGAGTACAAGGACTCGAGCGCTACAAACATACATCATTTTGTGACTGGCTTTGATTGACAGCTTTAAAGATGTTGAATAAATGTTTTCATTGCCGAAGCTACTTTTCAGAGTTTTCGGCAATTGTTTCGTGCCCTCAAGGGTGCACAGATAAGAAAAAAATAACAATAAGCAGAAGGAAGAAGAAGCCTTTTAAATTGTCTGTAGCTTAAACAGTTTTTTGATTTAAATTAGCTCAGCTCAGTTCGCTCAATCAGAACCTAAGATCTACAGTCAGCTGGCTGCCGTCTGGCTTTTGATTACGATGGCTTTCAAGGTCAGAGATTAGGTGGATGGCAACAGTTGCCAGTTGCCAGTTGCTAGTTGCTAGTTGCCGGTTGCCGGTTGCCAGGCAATTGAACAGATGAAGCCCTCTATTTAAAATAAAAATAAAAACATAATCCAAACAGATGTCAGAGCAGTCGGTGCCGACAGCAGCTGTGTGCGTGAGCTTTTGCAAACCTTTTGGTGAAGGCGAGCTTTTTGAGTGCGTGCGTTGTGTCTGTGTGTGTGTGTGTGTGTGTGTGAAAGTTCGCCCTTTTTACGAGCTTTTACCTCGCTCAATTTGCATTCCCAATTTATTGGGCACTTCATACCCAAGTGTGTAGCAAAGTGTTAAACCCAAAATATGAAAACACCATAAAAATGCCAAATACACGTAAATCTCGCCCAAACCCTAACCATTAGGCTACGAGTGGCGCGATCAATTTCAGTCCCAGGGGGCCGTTTGTTGTTCGGTTTGGTGGAAAGAAGGAGGAGTGACAATGGTAGTGTTGATCCTTCTTCGCCAGTCCTTGACCAGTTCGGTTCGCTCTCGCTGTGTGAGATGATTTACGTGGCAGCAAGGACACGTGAAAATTGCTCTATTATGAGTTGTTAAGAGCTGGCTGAGTAAACAGTGAAGGGTCTCATCTGGACATGGATATGGACAGGCGGCGGACACAACGCGGCATCAACTCAAGGGTGACACTGAGAACTTGTTCCCGTCGACAGGCAACACATGAGCTTGTTAATCGACTAAGACGAGGATGAGGACGAAGACGAAGACGAAGCAGCTCTTTTTATGTACAGTGCAGATTCGCTAACAAGTTCAACTGGTTTTTGGTGCTTTTTTTTTTTGAAGCGCTCGCCTTGACCATAGCGCAAAATTACAAATTAAAACGAAATAAATATGCCTTTTGTTATAAAATGCACACCAAAATGAATGCATATATAAAAAACAACAACAACAACAAACTTCTTTGTGATACTGATACGTCAGAAAAAAAGGAATATATATGCAAAACAAAATATATATATTTATATATATGCAAAAAAAGAATTAGCGCGGTTTTGCAATTTGCATGGCCATAAAATTAAATGAAATTAAATGAAAAATGGCGGCAACTGGTTCTATTGAATCGAGAATCGAGAATCTAATCCAAAAAACCCAAAATGGTAACAGAAAAGTAGCTAATTAATGGCTGCCATCAGCCTAAAGGCGCTTAAAACAATTTGCCAGACAAAACCACCAGTTACAAATGCGTCTTTAAGTTTGACTAATGATGTCAAATGTATTCTCTGAGTAACCGATCGGCTTAGGCGTAAAGTTCAAACCACCGCCAGCCCCGAGGTGTAAAGATAAGAAAGCGATAGAATGAAAAAGAGAAGAACAAAACAAAAAAAAAACGCCCCTCTGTAACAACTCTTGTAACTCAGCTCTACATTCTTCAATGTGGCCCATTCTCTCTGATCTTAACGATCGTAACTCAAACGCATGTCAAATGTCGCCATCGTTGTCAAAATTCCCAAACTAATTACGTATGCAAACGAGCCGCGACCCAAGACATTAGATTTCCACATTTCTCACATGCCCAAAGTAATACACTTTCTTTCCTTCAAAGGGAGAGAGAAAGTGTGCAAAGAAGCAAAGGGTTGTGTTGGGTTTGTCTCCGGGTTGTCTCCGGTTTGTTTGTTTGTTTGTTTACTATTTACCATACACCCCATTTACGACTATGATTTCTGTTTGTTACACAAAAGCAATTCGGGGATTTGCGTCTTGATGTGGGGTTAAGCATTTTAATTAGCGCACTATATGATAAAGAGAAGAAATATATATTTCTGATAACGGTTACATCATTGACCCCCGTGACCTGACCCAAGCATATGCCCAGTTATCAAGTACCTTGGCTTAGTTTTATTGCTGGCAGCTGCAAAAAAAAAAAACACAGAACACAGTTTTTATCACCATTTGAAGCGTGCCATCAAAGAAATGTGCTGGCGCCCACAAGGATCAGGCAAATGTCATAAATTTGATGACCATTTTGTGGTTTACGGTAGCCCAAGAAGCGGTCAATTGTCAGCGCCAGTTAGGATTATATGAACACTGAAAACAAACGCAGCTTGAGTTTGGTTAAACTATAAAAAACACACACACACACACATTAAGATAACTTGGTTATGGGTTGAGCAAACTCAAGGAAATTTGAGATGTGTGTTTAGCATGTGCAAAGAAGGTATTATGTGTGCTATAACAAAAAGAAAATTAAATAATAATATTTAACGCTGTGTTGCGCGACATTCACCTTGACAAGCACTCAAAATGCCAACGTTAGTTGGCAGCATCTACAAATGCAGCTGCAGCTTGGCTAAACAATAAAAACATACTATATTAACTTGGCTATGAGATGGCAAATCTTGAAGAAATGTGAGATGTGCTCAATTGTGTTGAATTGCATATTAATAGTTCGGGCATGCGCACCATCATTTAGCTAATCAAGATATTTTTAATGACATTTACCTTGCCAAGCATTTAAAATGCAGCCTTGTGCTCGGAATGCTCATTAACGCTAATTAGAGCCCACAAAATGGTATGAGCAATGGAATTTCTATGAGCTATGGTGATGCATCTATAGAAATATTCCATGCATGTTTTGATATTTTTGGGGGCAAATAATGCGTTTTTAATAAGTCATAACCATAAGCCATGGCAAATTTATTTTGCTATGGGAATGTATATATTTCATAAGTATATATCGATGTGCACATATTGAGGCATAAATCATATGCAGTATTTGCATTTGAGCCCACCATTTCGAGACGAAACCTACAATAATATTTAGGTAGGCTGGCCGTGTCGACATTGCAGCTCAGTGGACTGTCCAAAAACAACAATAAATCAGGCCAGGAAGCGACCTCGGATGAGGCTGTCCTCTGTTATAGCTGTTGAATTTCTTTTTTGTTGGGTTCTCATTTCTCGTTGTGGCGTAGGATGCACATCTGCTCCAAAATCTGATTTACTTTCTTTGTGTTATTTGCCCGGAGAGAGAGAGAAAGAAAGAGATCAGTGAAAAAAGATCAACGAAACTGGTGGCAAAAGTAAGCAAAAACGGTAGTTGAAAGAATATTTGGTTTCTTCACTCCCAGCAGGCGAGACAAAGGCAAACAAAATTAGCCAAAGCCCAAAAGGGAGCAAAGGGCGATCGCACAAACAAGATTAAAACGGGGCACTGACAAACAGACACACACACACACGTATAGATCGAGAAAGAATCAGAGAAGTGCAGAGAGAAACAGAGAAAGGCAAAAGGTAAATCAAAAATCAACTGTTTGGTACTTTTATATTGGCACCAACTAGTTTAACAGAATTCTGTAACTGTTGTTTACAGTAAAATTTGGAAAAGAAAAGAAAATGTCCAAATAATCACTGCTTAAGTTGAAGAAATAATTTATAGGGTATTTCTAAGTCTATTTCTATATTCGCTGTTCATTCATAATGTAATACAACCAAAGTTATTTCTAATCCAATTTAAGACACGCTAAGCTACTTTAGATATGATAACCTAGTTTTATTACTGCTCTATTCAAAGGTTTAGTATTTCCCATGTATATCATCATTATTTGTTCAAGAAATATACTTTCATACTTACAAAACTCTCTCCGCAAGTTTCGGATCACATTAATTAACGGCTCAACTAATTTAACAAAATAGTTACACTAAGTAGCAACTACTAGAAACAAACATTTGCTCAAAATAGAGTTGTTCAGGGAATTATAGACGGAGGGGTGAAGAGGGCGTCGCTCATCCAACTGTTGTCTAGTTATTGGAAAAGTTCTGCACGAATGGCTGGCAAACACTTTCCAAGGTTCGGTCACGCAACGTTCACACAGCGAATAGCTTGAGGTAGCTGGAGTCTAATAAATGGATCTGACAGATACGTCATATGTCACGTGCAGGAATTTCATATGTAAATATTAAATATACCAATTTGCTATTTTGCATATGCGCTATGACTTCATCAGCAAATAATTTCTGATTATTTTTTTTTTTGTTGCTCAAAACGAAGAAGCAGACGAAGAGAAGTTCAACTGACACAGAAATTTACGCATCATTAGCAAAATGTAATGGGAAAACCAAACAAAATAATGAAAATAGTTGAATGAATGAATTTCGAATAGGCAGCGAGTGCGGGCGTGAAAAACATGTGTTGGATTTTGATAAATTGAATTAAAGATGTGCGCACGCAGGCCAATTGCCAATTGCCTTTAATTCGCTGTCCAAACACACACACACACACACACACATCCACAATTGAAGGTCGCACTCACACACACATACGCACTTGGGCGTTAAGTGGCTCGAGATCCTCGCGCTTGATCCCTAGCAAAAGATCAACACAGACCACGCCCCAGTTGAGGCTGGCTCAATTAAAAGGCAAGAAAGGGGTTAGTTCTCAAGATGCGCTGTCATTGGTG